AAGCTCTTGGATTGCCTTGCCTCCTTTTCCATGTGCCAAAGAAGCAAGCAATGAGAAGTGATGAGATGACACGACGACTCTTTTAATTCTTTTTTTCCAAAGTGATTTTATGGCCTTTGCTATTGCGGGAACTGAACTCGAAAAACAGCCGAGTTCATCAGTGACCCAATGGGGGCCTAAGCGGAATTGCCGAAGGCATTGCCTCAGCATGATGCGTTTCTGGGTCTCACGAGGCACTTGAATATGGGGAGTTTCTACCTTGAGCTTTGGAATCTTTCGTTGTTTGTGGAAGAATCCTGCACCAGTTGATAGGTGGTAAACATCCCATTATTCATAGGATACCAACCATACTTTTGGTGGTTTCTCGGATTTCGCAACCACTTACCGTATGTTGATGTATTCTGTTGCTGTCGGTCGCCTCCCGAGCGCCTCCCGAGCCCACAGAAACGCGTCGCTGTCCACAGAAATTCGGCGCCCGCCGTGGGATGATGGCATGCGGCATCTGAAGACTGGGACAGTTTAGAGCTGTTTCAGTTGGAAGGTGCTCAGCTTATCAAATTTCAGTGGAAATGTCGAACAGTCAGATGTAGCCTCTTCAACATCCTGTGAAACAAAGTTGTGGCACATGTCAGATCCCATCAGCGTTCTGCTTCCGCGGAGCACTGAACAAAATCTCTCTTTTCCATTCTTTTCTGCCGAGTTTGGAAGTATCTTGTAGCCTTTGTTCTCTCTGATTCTGGATTTGTCAACAGCTCCAAGTAATATCAAGTAATTATGTCAAAGAAAAGCACTGCATATCTGCATTCATCAGCAGAAAAATGACGGATCTGGGATTCCAGAATGAACATACGGCACCAAGTTTTACCATTCGAACGTCATGAAGACAGCGCGAAGAAATGGGGGGAGCTGACTCACTCGCAATGGCCCTTGCGCCGCGCAGTGGGATCGACCATGGCTGTGACGTCACAGGTATCCCAGGACCAGTTCATGATCATCCGGTATCATCCATCTATTTCGATTGGGACATGTCGGACATGTTGATAGATTTTGGGGACAAATACCATCATGATACCCTCTGGTTATGTCAAATAGCTATTGAAAATGACCATTTATAGTGGATTTACCCATTGAAAATGGTGATTTTCCATAGTTATGTTAGTTTACCATCATGATACATCATAATACCATGAAATACCAATCTTTTGAGGAGAAGACCATACAGAATTCATCTGGTTTTGAAGGCAAACTGGACACAGTTTTGGTGACGTGAGGCTGGAGCCTGGATCGACTCTATGAAGGGCGGCCCATACAGAAGTTTTGGGTCAGCCCAGCTTGGGAGTGTTGGACGTCAAGACGTAGAGGGTTAAGGATGGTGAAGCTATGAAAATATATGAAAAATCATCAATACATTGGGATGTTCACATTTTTTTTTGGGGACGTCACTGATTTCACAGTGAAGAATGAAGTGAATATGATGATTTGAGCATGATCTGGATTTGACATCAGACATAGAGGTTCCACGTCAGAAGTGGTTCAAAACCTTGGTCATGGCTCGGTCATGACAGCAAGACTGCTACAGTACAATGTGAGTGCCAAAGATGGTGAACTATGATAGACACCTAAGCCTTCAATGAATTAATATCAATGATTCAATGATAATTAATATTTCTTGCATACCAGCAGTGGCCTACCTTAACCCAGGGGTACCTCATGTCCATCTCAGAAATCATGAAGCAAGGCCTTCGTTACGGGGCAAGGAGTAGAGTCCAGGGGCTGCGTTCAACGCTTGTTGACGATTTTTTAGGGCAGAAAAAAACACTGGGCATTATATAAGATATATAACCATCAGTAACATGTTATGATAATTCCCTATGACATGTTATTAAAACCACTGGGCTATGACATTATATATAATTATAAGTAGCTAGCCATTTTTAGGGATTCTCAACCATAAGTAGCACAGCTTATTAACCTCTTTTGTTGATCAACCTATTGGGGATTCCATCAACCTTTTTTGTTGGTCATCCAGCCAGGAATCCCGTCACCACTTCCAGGGCTGCTCCATGGCCATAGTGGTCTCCATTTCTGTTTCCAGAAATGGGGGCTGCCCCCATAGCTGGATGGTGAATCTTTCCATGGGAAAATCCATCAATCAATGGACGACCCGGGGTACCCCCATGTTCCGTTTACGGACACCTCCAGTTAGATTCCTAGCAATTCCTAGCAATTCCACCATATGGTCGAAGCGGGATGTTTAGGCCCCGATTCCGGGGGAATGGCTTGATTCGATATCTGATCAGGGTATGAGTCAAAATTAGGTACCCCAATACTAGATGGTTATTACTAACTATAGACTAAGATCTGTGGTCCCCAGGTCTTTAATTTTGACCCATCACCATCAATCCTCAGCCCCTTCCGTAGCGCTTCGATGGCTCAGAACATGGACTGGGAATTTTTTCGGCATCGGCTCAGCATGAAAGTTTCGCTACCACTTGGCAGGAGCTATCCGCAGTGAAACAGTGAAACCAGGCCCGGATTTTCTCCATGGAATCCATCATGCTTTCTGGGTTGATTTTCCAATCTTAAACACTAAAACTGGCGTTCACTGAACGGAGCTGGTTTTGGATTTGTCAGATTCGCGCCGGCCTGCCATGGCTGCCAGATCAATCATGGAGTCCCCATGGAAATCCTCATCATTTTGATGAAACATGGAATTTCGATTACTCATTCCCCATGGATCCATGGCCACTGTCTGAGAAGCTACTTAGCCTAACCCCCGAGTCACGTCATCACACACCAGTCGTACTTCCTTTCAGAAGGTACGGCTGGATCCATAGGGATTACATAATATTGAAGATGGAATCATGGAAAAAATCAGCAATTTTTTCGGAATCCGAGCGCCATGCACTCGTCCGCCTCTGCGCCCTGCTTGACCCGTCGGCCGCTTCTGAAAGGCTGAGCAACTGGGGGTCATCGGGGAGAACCCGTGAGAAGCGCTGTGGAATATGGAGGTTTCAATGAGGTTTCCTGAAATGAGGCTACTGTACCTGAAAATGGAGGGTTTATAATTGAACATCCGAAAATCAGATGATCCGGGGGCACCCCCATTTTTTAGCACAACATCCCCAAACACTCCCTCAAAAGGATTCAAAAGGGACTTGGATCATCTACGGAATGAAATGTATTGAAATCTGGTAACCCCTCATTCCATTGTTTTTTTTTGTGAATTTTCCATACATGGAAAAACTACATTTTTTTTTTTTTGGGGGGGGGCCCAATGGGTTGTATAGACATTTTACAACCCATGTATGGTAATAACCAGTCCTTCCATTTGATCCCCATCTCCCCATAAAAAAACCGCCCACCAAAAAAATGTCACCACTGTCCATCACCTCCATCGAAAAATCCCATCACTATCTAACCATTGTTTTATGGCAACATTTAAAAGGATAGGTTCTTTTTTAAAAGAGTGATAAGGTTTTTTTTTTCTAAATATCTTTTTGGCAGTTACTACTATAATCCCATCCCCGTATATAATATCAAACACCCCCGAAACCATGGTTTCGTCGGGCATTTACACATAGTCGGGACCATAGAATTATAGAATTCGGGCGTTTAATATGAAGGGCAGAAGATTGTACAAAGTGGGGCCCCCTAGATAGCTAAGTTGGTTTATAACTCCAATAACTATGGTTTATGGTACTTACAACTATAGTTACTGGGGTTTATGAACCAATTTATAACTGGGGGGCCCCACATTGTATGATCCCATTGTAATCCCATCATATCCCCATTGTATCCGAAAATGTATCCCCCAATCACTATCCAATCTTTGAGGGCAAATCACTATCCAACCATTGTAATCATACGGAATGTATTTTTTGGAATCTTACTATTAAAACTTACTTAGAGCAATCCGTTTTGTTACTATAAATTCTAAACATCTTTTTTGGGGGTTAGTATTAGACCGTGGTCGAGAATTTACACATAGGGACCATGGAATGGGTGAGTTTATTACTAGGAGCATGGGATACCCTCCGGTTATGACTAACGGTTTGCTATAGAAAATGGCCCATTTATACTTGATTTACCTATGAAACTAGTGATTTTCCACAGCCATGTTAGTTTACCAGAGGGTAATGATTGAACCTTTTTCACCATCGGGGGTCATTTTACATCATCCCATTCACAGTACCCAATTTCATGGTTACCTCAATTGGGAATGGTTTATTGTGCTTGTCATCCATTATTATCCCACTATTATCCCATATTAATCTATATTATCCCATTAATATCCGTACTATATCAACTAAGACTATATCCAATTATTGTTGGGGTTTCCCACGTTACCCCAGTTCGAACAATGGCATGCGGTCTACCCAATAAACATTTGTTGCGAATGCACATTAGACAGAAAACCCAATGAAATAAACATCCATTGTTGGGTGCACGCTGTACCACTATTTTTATCTATTTTTCCATGTGTTAAACCTAACAATATTATGTAAATATTGGGACATATTATTAGGAAAACCCACTATTAGTAGGACAAGAATGGGATATAATATCCATATCCATGCTATTATTGTTATTATTATGATGTTTTTTAATCCAAATTTATTATTAAGTATCTATAATAATTCACAGTATAAACACACACATATATATATAATATATACATAGTATTTTAATAGCCATACCGTGTGCCCCCCCATCTGTAAGGTTGTTTTTCAAACCATAGGTATTGGAATTATCATCAACCACAGTATAATCAAGTATCATAAACCTAGGTATTGGTATCATAAACCAGTAGTGTGCCCCCCCAGCTGTATTTTTTTTTTTTTTAAACCAGTTACTACAATGTGGACCCCCCCAGTTATAAATTGGTTGATAAACCCCAGTAACTATAGTTTTTTTGCGTACCATAAACCATAGTGAAATTGGAATTTTGTTCACCAACTTAGCTCCCTGAGGGGCCCCAGCTTGGGGGACAACTCCAGGAGGGACTGCCTTGCTGGGCCTGGACTATGAGGAAACACTGCAGGTCCAAAACACCATGGGGATGTCAGGTATTTCACCAAAAAACGGTGGGTTTGGGGCACAGTACTGGGGAAACATGGTGATTTGAGTCTGAAACAAAGACATGTTATGGGATTTAATTGAGAAAACTTGGGATTTTTCCCTCAAAAGTCCTCCTTTTAACGAGGACATTAATGTGGATTTGGAAAGCAAAGATGTGGATTCCAGCAACGCAGAGGGATCTACAACTGAAAATGCTGGTAGATACCCCCAGCCTTGCAGATTCTACGACACCAGCAGAGGGTCGAGAACATGAAGCCGTCTGCTGCGGTGCAGCGGCAGGAGCAAGAACGAAGCTTGGCCAAGGGGAGACTACCTGTAGATTGTGGTTAGTGAGGGGAACCATCCCTAAAGTCACTATTTAGTGTCTTTGTTGACTCCTAAAGAATTCTAACAAAATCATCCCTGAAAATTCATAGTCCTTTTAATTCTACATTTCAGGACGTTTATTTCCCATTTAGTTTGTCTTAAATTGCCCGCATTGATTGCTTGACTCACCTTCCTTTGTGCTGATTCAGTGATGCGAAACCCAACACTGACAAGGAATTATCAGCTTTCAAAGCACTAGGTCTGCGAGGAAAGTGGAATTCCACCCATTCCTATAACAGTCGTTATCCCTAAATGTGCAAAATTGATGATTCCCACTTCTGGACTGCTGAGTTTTGGGGTCAACGTGATTCTACCAATGGACCGAGAAATCTTGTTACTTTTAGTATTGAACCATATTGAACCATTCAAGTTTAGGTACAATCATTTTGACCCATTGCATGTTTTTCCAATTTTTGGGTGCGTTCATCCAAGTTTACTCTTATTTTTGGTTTGCACTTGAAGCGCTTGTTGGTAAACCCAAGCCACTTCCACATGTCATTTTCCAACGTTGGTTGTTAAGATCACAACTACTGACATCACTACCGCATGATTGGATCAACAATAGTAATTATCAATAGTAATTATAATTTGGATGTTCCCCCACATAATATCATATAATATCATATAATATCATATAGTATCAACTAATCACTGGTTGGTGGTTTGGAACATGAATTTTATTTTCCCCAATAGTTGGGATGATGATCCAATCTGACGAACTCATATTTTTCAGGGGGGTAGGGCTCAACCACCACTTAGATCAGCATAATCACCTCCAAAAATTGCTTCCAATTCCGGAGTCGAAATGTTGGGTCCCCGAAAATCACATAAATCTCGTTCGGTTTACAGCATCACAGAGATGGTTTGCATATAGGGGTGGTGCTTCGGTCCGGCTTCGGTTGGTTCACCAAGAAACATGGCCGTGGGTGGCCACGGCCAACAGACCCAGTTACTAGCCATCACTTCTGAGCCACTTAAATTTCTTCAAACATCATTAGATGAAATAGTCCATAGTATTAAGCAATCATTCATGTATATATTAATTATTAATAAACTCGAATTCCCATAGTATTAAGCAATCCGCAGAGATTGCTCGTATATGGCAAATCCCCAGGCTGATATTGGCAGAAGATACCTGGATACCTCGAAAATCCTCGAAACATGGCCAGCTTCATGAGGAAAAGAATCATGAATCATGAACATATTTTTGTTTGGTTCATGAGTTTCAGACAAACCCATGTTAATAAACCCCCAAAAAAATATTGCCATCCATTAGTCCATGGGTTAATCCATGGGTGAAACCCATTAAGGGGCTAATCATGTGGTAAACCCCATAATAAATCATCCCATTAACGATCCCTTTTCGGGTGGTCCTCTTCAATCGTCCCATTGCGGAAATCACCGAAAAAATCACAAGGAGAAAGCTCTATTGGGAATGGTTTATGGCACATAGTCGTCCATTAAAAAAGGCCCATTTTGATTAATGTCATACATTAGATATCCCATTATTGGCTTTACCCCATTACTCCAGTTAGAACAATTGCTAAGTTCTTATCGAATAATGGGATAATAACAGATAATTGGATGACCATATAGTGACTAGAATGATGGGTGTCGACTTACTCCAGTTATCCAATAATGTGTTTTTTTACCAGAGAATGGGGGATTTCATGATGACAAAACAAATAATCCAGATTAGTGGGACCCACGACATTGCAGTCTGAAGACTTTTTGGTAAGTTACATCCAATTTCATAATGGGCGAATATTATTCCGTTTTTTTGGATAATAATGGGATGATCATGGGATGATCATGGGACGATAATTATTATACAAATAAGTATATACTATAATTACTATAATCATAATCCATATTACTATCCCATATTACTATTATTATGATTATCCCATATTACTATAATAATCCAAATAAGTTACCCTCTGGTAATTTAACATAGCTATTGAAAATCACCATGATTAATGGGAAAATCCACTATAAATGGTCATTTTCAATAGCTATGTTAGTTTACCAGAGGGTACTCCTAATTCTTCTCGAGTATTGGATCTTAAGGCGACTTCCAGCGCCATCGTCGCTTCGTCCAGATCCGCTCGCGCTATGCACAGCCCACCAGTCCGGCACCTGCGCACAGGTGTCCGTTGGGCACACCGGGGGTCAAGTTCATGGGGTACCTTTTTTTGGGCCATGAAATGGATGGTATACCCTCTGGTTATGACTAACAGTGACTAACAGTTTGCGAACTGGAAAATGGATGAAAATTAGAAAGTTCGTGGATTTAGCCAGCTTGAAAATGGTGATTTTCCATAGTTATGTTAGTTTACCAGAGGGTAAACGTGGTTTAAGGTGGTTGGTTTAATGATGTTCGATTCTGTGAAACTTGATCTAAGAACATTTTCTTTGTGGCGTGATTATGGTTTCATGTGTTTTTTTTTTTGGTTTTTAACACCCCAGCCTGGCCGAACCAGAAACCAAGTGGAGCATGAGCCAAGTTATCATCAACACATGGGGATGGAACGAACAAAAACATGGAATAGTTGGGAAAGGTTGGGTAAACCGACTGGTGAAGAGAAGTTGATGATGGTTGATGCACAGGCCCCCCCTATGTTTGTTTGCCAGAGGGTGTACATCCTGAACGCAAGGACCTAACACAGCTACCGGAGGTCGGTAGGGGGAATGCCACAGATCATCGTAGTTCAAAATTATGAAGAACCCGCAACGGTCATCGAATCTGACGAACGCACTCCATGTTTTGATCATGTTCCTATACATACATGTATCATTATCATGTATTTCTTTTCAACAACTGGGATTTCCCTCTGTTTGACTACCAATGCTGATTCCCCGAGTCATGGCAGTTCTATAGATTAATGATGATCAATGTGTTATTTTTCCCATTACAAAATGTAGATTTCCTATCACTTATGGCTGATATTCCCATAGTTTCATACTACATATTAGGTTTCCCAATGGTTACTGAATGATATTCCTATGTTCTTGTGGATTTCCCATTGGTTTCTACCGGCGAGTCCCCACGAGTCTGCAAGCGCAGTTCTGGCCGGCTGCCGGAGAGTGGCAACCGGCGAGACTTCGAGAGGCGCTTGGAGCGGATGCTGCTGCAGGCCCTCAGGGGGATGTCAGTTGATGTCGAGTTTCACTGGTGCTGTCACGATGATGAACGATGGGTTTTACCAGGGGTTTTACCGTAAGTGTTGCCCTCTCAAAATCCAGACTTCACCAGGAAAAATGGTGACTTAACCAGGGCAAATGCGGAGTTTTGTCGGTTTAACGATATGTTTGAAACCGCCAACCTGGGGTGTACAAGTACGGCTGTTGCCTTCAGACAACTGGAGGCTGATATTGCTTCTTCTCGGTAGATCAATCAACAAAGTTTGCTTGTTTTTATGTTAAATCATAGTTGGGATCGTCATGAAAAGAAGTAATAGATCAATATATATATATATGGAATAGTATGGAATAGCAAGAGGAATGGAATCCAGCTATAGATAATAGATCGTCAAGATCCCAAGAATAGAAAGTGAGAGCAGAGATCATGCGTTAAAGAGGAATAGTATGGAATAGTAAGTTTAAATAGTTGATGGTATAGTAAGATATAGTCACCTACTTAAGTTGAAATGCCATAGCCATAGATACCCTGCCAGATTACTGGATGCGCCCCCCAAACGCGAAGGAGATTGGCATGGCCAAAGTTGAAGACCCCCAAAAACAACCAGAGATTGTGGTCATGAGCTGAGTAAAAACGATTTTGGGGTTGTGAAAACCAGCGTCTAAACCATGGTTTTTGTTTGAACAAATCCCATGATTTTTAGGTACCCAAACCCATTGTTTTTTTTAAAAAGGATTTTGGGGTACCCTCTGGTAAACCAACAGTTTGCGAACTGGAAAATGGCCCATAGAAATAGTGACTTAGTGGATTTACCCAGCTATAAAATGATAATGTGCCATCGTTTTTTGTAAACCTTTACCATTTCGGGTACCACTTGGACCACTTGGATATTTGATGAATTGACATCCCCAAGACATCCCCATCTCCTCGCCATCCAATACCCAGCGAGGACTGGGATGGTAAGGAGCAAGATGCTTGGCAGCGATAGCTGAACGATAGCTCTACAGTAGGTGGAATGGGCTGGATCCGTCAGGGAAACGATTTGGGGCCCATTGGATGTTTTCTTGGCTTATTGGTACCCGAAATGGTAAACGTTTACATAGCGAACTGGAAAGATCCACCATGTTCTAGCTGGGTAAATCCACGAACTTTCCATGGCCATTTTCAATAGCTATGTTAAATTACCGGAGGGTCATCTGATTATTAATCATTTAATCTATATTAGGAATGTACTATTGGAAAATCTATATATTAGGAATGTACTATTGGAATGTACTATTTAATCTATTCCTATTAATCCCTATGAATCCAAACACTATCTCAGAAGGTACGGCTAACCCCCGAAACGTCATCATACCCCAAACACTTCCTAGGAAGGTACGGCTGGATCCATAGGGTATATTAGGAATGTACTATTGGAATGTACTATTTGGTAAACGAACATAACTATGGAAAATCACCATATATAGTGGATTTTTCCATGAAAAATAGTGATTTTCCATAGTTATGTTAGTTTACCAGAGGGTGCTATTTGGTAATCGATATTAGCTTCTCAGGGCTCTAAATTGGGTTGATGTTGATGGGATTGGAGAACCCAAAAGGACCGAGCTTATGTCAGAATTTGAGATTGGTGGATATTAGGATCCTTGCTGAATGACTACAAGTAGGTGAAACATCCCGTAAGAAATCCCGAAACATAAAGGGCTTTGAATCAATGATCCCAGTTGCAAAGCTACAAATCTGAGGGACTATCCAATCAGTACCCTTTGGGTGGCAGTTGGGTTCTTCCAGGATCAACGGTGTCCCATGTACCAACTGAGGAGTCTTTCATGTTTAAAAGCAAAAAAAAACACCAGTCTGGTGTTTCTCGGCTTTCCCCAAAATTTTCCGTTGCAGATCATTCAATGAAAAATATCTTCTGTTAAAGTCACGCACAAGAATTCCATTCATTCACCAATTAATAGTTCGAAATATTAAAGTTAGTGAGTTATAGTTCGTGAAATCCCACGATTCTCATGAGAGTTTGTTGCATGGCCGTTGTATGTCGATAATGACTCATAATAATCCTAGTAATAATCCATAATGATATAACCCAGATGCTCCATGGTGCTGGAATATTTACCTACATTTACCCCAACAAAGGGCGCAAATGTACGCAGGTAAATATATGTAAATATCCCATACATGGAGCATATGGGTAATAATCCATAACTGGTTGGTGGTTTCAAACATGAATTTTATTTTCCATTTCATATATGGGATGTCATCCTTCCCATTGACGAAGTCAGAGTCATGTTTTTCAAGATGGTTATTGCACCACCAAGCAGATTAGTATTTTTCAGATGGATTAACCAACCAGATATGGATTGTTATCCCAGGTATTATGGTTTGTTGCATGGCTGTTTTATGTCCGTAATAATCCGTAATAATCCGTAATAATCCGTAACCCATGACGGATCCATGGTGCTGCTATATATGGTGTGCCATGGATCCCATCAAGATTAAGCCCATAAAAATGTTAGCATTTTTCTATCAGCACCAGCCGGATCCGTCATGGGGAATGATACAATGTGGGGCCCCCCAGTGATGTGAACGTTGGTTTATAAACCCCATTAACTATAGTTATTTGCCTACCATAGACCATAGTGAAATTGGAGTTATGTGAACCCCAACTTAGCTATCGAACGGGGGCCTCACTTTGTATCTATTAATCCATCCATAGTATAGCAAGTATACCCAAGTACATCCCAATGATGTCCCAACTATATCCCGATGAAATCCTATAAACCTATTATAAACCAATCTTGGGGGCCTCACATTGTATAATTCATGATCATCCGTCATCCATTGAGTCCCATGAATCCCCCTGCTATAAAGGGCTTGCCAGTGATGTTTGTTGCTTTTGTAACCCCCAAACGAGATGTTATAATTACCATAAACCCAACAGCTAAAATTGTATGTGAACACCAACTTAACCATCTCAAATCAACTATAAATCCCATTCAATCACTAGTTTTCTTGGATAAATCACCATGTTTCCTATGGTTTTTCCTATGGTTTTCCTATGGTTAAACAACTCCAAGGACTTCGCGTGGAAGCGCTGCCCTCCGAAAGAACAGCGCGTGCCCATTTCGCGCCCAAGGGTACGCGAGGTGGCGCAAGGTGCGCCCGGATGCGTGGAAAAATGGCTCGTTTTGGTACAAGGTGGTGCCCCCCCAGTGATGTTTGTTGGTTTATAAGCCCCATTAAGTATAGGATAGTATAGGTATATCATGGTATATCTACCATAAACCCAGTCGTGAAATTGGAGTTACGTGAACCCCAACTTAGCATGACCCCGAACTGGGGCACCTTTTTGGGACCTTTTTGGGTGGTGCCACAGAAGCCGTGGGGAACCGTGGATGGGTCCCTCCAATCGAGTCCAATTCCAGGCGCCGTGGAAGCTGAAGCCAGTGCAGTGAGCGAGGCGGTGCCTGCGAGTGAGTCGATGGTGACTTGGTGGTGAAGCTGGTGAAAGACAGAAGAACTGGGGAAAAATGAAATGTTGGTGGTTTGGAACATTGTTCATTTTTCCAGATATTGGGAATCATACTCCCATTTGACTTTCATATTTTTTCAGAGGGGTAGGTATACCACCAACCAGGATGTAGAAATCAAGAATGGGGGATGTGAACCGAGCATTGGAGATATCATGGGATGGAGAACCAACAATATGACCAGACATGTGACTATTTTTTTTTGCTTTTTGTTTTTGTTATATTTTGTTGTATATATTTATTGTTTTGGAATGTTTGTCTTTTTTGCTGGAACTCATTCTTGATTTTACATATTGTTTAACATGAAAACAAGATGCAGCCCACGAACCCGAATGCTCACACGTATGTTAATGGTACAGATGTCAAAACACATGGATATGCAGTCACGCACAACACTTTTCTGCAATAGTTTGTTTGAACAGTCTTGTACATATTTCCCCTGTTACCAGTCTGCAGTGTGGAGTGTAAAGTGTAGAGTGTGGAGTGTGGAGTGTAAAAGGTAGAGTGTCGAGTGTGGAGTGAGGGGTGTCGAGTGGGGAGTGTGGAGTGTAAAGTGTAGAGTGTGGAGTGTGGAGTGTAAAGTGTGGAGAGTGTGGAGTGTGGAGTGTAAAGTGTAAAGTGTGGAGTGAGGAGTGTAAAGTGTAAAGTGTGGAGTGTAAAGTGTAAAGTGTGGAGTGAGGAGTGAGGAGTGTAAAGTGTAAAGTGTGGAGTGTAAAGTGTAAAGTGTGGAGTGAGGAGTGAGGAGTGTAAAGTGTAAAGTGTGGAGTGTAAAGTGCGGAGTGTGGAGTGTAGAGTGTGGAGTGGGGAGTGTAAAGTGAGGAGTTTCGAGTGTAAAGTGTGGAGTGGAAAGTGTAAAGTGTGGAGTGTGGAGTGTAAAGTGAGGAGTGTGGAGTGTAGAGTGTGGAGTGTGGAGTGAGGAGTGCAAAGTGTAAAGTGTGGAGTGTGGATTGCAAAGTGTGGAGTGTGGAGTGTGGAGTGTAAAGTGTGGAGTGTGGAGTGGAAAGTGTAGTGTGTCAAAGGTGGAGTGTGGAGTGTAAAGTGAGGAGTGTGGCATGAAAAGTGTAAAGTATGGAGTGTAAAGTGTGGAGTGTGGAGTGTGGAGTGGAAAGTGTAGAGTGTGGAGTGTAAAGTGAGGAGTGTGAAGTGAGGAGTGTGGCGTGTAAAGTGTGGACTGAGGAGTGTAAAGTGTAAAGTGTAGAGTGTGGAGTGTAAAGTGTGGAGTGTGGAGTGTGGAGTGCAGAGTGTGGAGTGGAAAGTGTAGATTGTGGAGTGAGGAGTGTGGAGTGTAAAGTGAGGAGCGTGGAGTGTAGAGTGTGGAGTGTGGAGTGAGGAGTGTAAAGTGTAAAGTGTGGAGTGTGGAGTGTAAAGTGTAGAGTGTGGAGTGTAGAGTGTGGAGTGGAAAGTGTAGCGTGTGGAGTGTAAAGTGTGGAGTGAGGAGTGTAAAGTGAGGAGTGTGGAGTGTAGAGTGTGGAGTGTGGAGTGAGGAGTGTAAAGTGTAAAGTGTGGAGTGAGGAGTGTAAAGAGTAAAGTGTGGACTGTGGAGTGTAAAGTGTGGAGTGTGGAGTGTGGAGTGTGGAGTGTGGAGTGGAAAGTGTAGAGTGTCAAAGGTGGAGTGTGGAGTGTAAAGTGAGGAGTGTGGAATGTAAAGTGTGAGTGAGGAGTGTACAGTGTAAAGAGTGGAGTGTAAAGTGTGGAGTGTGGAGTGTGGAGTGGAAAGTGTAGAGCGTGGAGTGTGGGGTGTAGAGTGCAGAGTATAAAGTTGCCACGCCTGCCACGCAAAACGACATGACAACCTGCTTAGAAACCCTCGAACAGGAGATGTTTTGCAGCTTCCCCCATAGACACTGCGACGTGTCTAGAAAACCAGAGACACTTTCGGCTCGTTGTCAAACAGGTTGGAATGTCACAAAGTGCCACGCCTGCCACGAAAAACGACATGACAACCTGCTTGGCAACCTTCGAAAAAGAGAGGTTTTGCAGCTTCCCCCAAAGACACGGCGATGCCCCAGGAAATCCAACAACTCGGGACGAGACACGTGGATGCAGAAACACGAGCATTTCGTACGAGACTTCCTCCAATTTTCACATTTTCGACACTTTATCAAACAGGTTGGAATGTCACAAAGTGCCACGCCTGCCACGCAAAACGACATGACAAGCTGCTTGGAAACCGTCGAAAAGGAGAGGTTTTGTGGCTTCCCCCATAGACACGGCGACGCCACAGGAAAACCAGAGACTCGAGACAAGACACATAGGAACATCAAAACCAGCATTTCGTGCGAGACTTCCGGCAATTTTCACAGTTGGCAACATGACAAAAAGACAAGTTTTGCAGCTTCCCCCATAGACACGGCGAGGCCACTGGCAAACCAGACACGCGAGACGAGACAGGTGGGAGCACCAAAACGAGCATTTCGTGCGAGACTTCCTCCAATTTTCACACTTTGTAGCTTCAAAATCGACGTTTTCCTAGGAGTTTTCCTTAGAACCTGAAAATTTGCAACCTCAAAATCGATCTTTCGTGCGAGGCTTCCGTCAATTTTCAGCACATCGCACAAAATGCCACGCCTGCCACGGAATTTGCACCTTGTCGCCACTTGACGCAGCCCTGCCAATGCGATTTGCAAAAAACACGCAACGCGACACGTCTAAAGTGCTGCGCCTGCCACGAAAAATGACGATGGACACGTCCAAAGTGCTGCGCCTGCCACGAAAACTGCAACACATCTTCTGAAAACGTCACAAAAGTATTGCGCCTGCCACGCAAAACGACTTTCGACACGTTGCAGAACACGTCTGAATGTCACGAAGTGCCACGCCTGCCACGCGAAACGAAGCAACGACGCGTCTGCAACCTCCAAAAAGGACCACCTCTGCAAAACTTCCCATAGGCACGGCCATACGGAGTTCGTACGGACGGTTGCGGACGGTTGCGAACGGTTGCGAACGGTTGCGGACGGTTGCGCTCGCGAACGCAACGTCGAGCGAACACACCCTCAACCCCCAGACCCCCAGAGTGAAACGGGAACCCTTGCTACGCATTCGGGAAAACTAGTTTCAAAAATGAAACCATGGCAAACACACCAAATATTTGAGAATGCCTTCTGCAGTAGTAATTTACTGTCACGAGTCATAACTACCATAATTATTTGTAGGAATAAATAGTTATCCATTCTTTGCGAAGGTAGTATTGATAGTAATAGCAATGATAGATTACTGGTTGGTGGTTTGGAACATGTTTTTTTCCCATTCAGTTGGGAATTTCATAATCCCAACTGACTTTCACTCCATCATTTTTCAGAGGGGTAGGGCTCAACCACAGACAATCGAAGCATGATGGGTCCCAAGTACGACAAAGATCTCCGCAGTAATTGGTGAATTTGCCCTGGCGCCATGGTCAACATTGGTTCATTTTCCTATGGGGGATAGTGCGGAAAATCATATGATTTTTAGAAAAAAAATCACAGGGATTGAAAAACTATTGTCATGAGAATCCATGACCATGTGGGTATATCATGATTCATGTGGCGATTAATCATGATTAATCATTAATTAATCCATTAATCATGATATATAACCGCAAGGATGACATCCCCATGAACTGGACCAACTGGATGGTACAGCCATGTTGTGAAGCCATTTGGAATTTTGGAAACAGCCGTAGTGTCAACCCCGTTTTTTTTTAGTGGTTGATCAATTCGGGGCAGCCCCAAAATACCAGAAAAATGTGAACAAAAATGCCAGAAAAATGCCATGGAATTTGCGAGAAATTTCTTGATGGTAGCCCCAAAATACAAAATGAGCTCTCAGGAGTTTTCATCAAATCGAGGGTTGAATTCCCGGGATGCTGAGCACACTGAGACCGAGCCCAACGAGACCCACCGTTTCGAAGCGGCGAGGACGCTGGCATCGAAGGTGGACAATCCTCGAAAAGGGATACCCCAAAGAAGATAAAGAAGGGACCCCAAAGGAATAGGAGTTTCCACCGACATCAACCCAATTTTTTCCCGGGGAAACATGTCGTATTTTGGTGTATGTTGAAGGGATTGCAATAGATTCTTGATGTTTTAGGTTACAGCAACAATGATGGGTGTCAATTTTGCGAGAAGAGGACGTGATGTATATAACATGTGCATATACAATTATATATATATATATACACCATCCGGTCATTTAACATAGCCATGGAAAATCACCATTTTTAGTAGGTAAACCATCTATAAATGGGCCATTCTCCATGGCTATGTTAAATAACCAGAGGGTATAATAATGATATATATAATATTATATTATATCCAATATAATATATTAATATATATATATATATATATATACATAATATATTTATATATATATATTAACATATTGTATATATAATATAACATATTATATATATATTAACATATTGTATATATGATATAACATATTATATATATATTGTAACTCGCATCAACATGCATCAACAATGCTTCAACGGTGATCTCCAAGATCTGTAGTGATGTCGATTGTTGCCACCCCGGCTATTCTGGAGATCCGAGTCTGTCGTTGGCATACCGAAACAACAAGTGACAAGCTGAAACCCAGAATTCCATAGAATTCCATGGATGGTTAGCTGAACCGCTCATTTGGGATTTTACACTCTGGTAATTTGTTACAGTTTGCTATTGAAAATGGCACCTTTAGTTAGTTGATTTACCTATTAAGGATGGTGATTTTCTACAGCTATGTTAGTTTATCAGAGGGTAGTTGGGAACCGGGAAAAGCCCATTCCGAACTCCATTTTCGCTTCTGGATCCACAACTTTGGTCACCCTCGGGATATACATCGAGGGAATCCTGCATAGCCATGGTTATGTTAGAATCCCAGGTTTACCATGTTACCATGTTTGATGTCATCTATCAATAAGAATAACCCTCTGGTAAACTGACATAGCTATAGAAAATCACCATCTTTAATAGGTAAATCAGCTATAAATGGGCCATATTTAATAGGTATGTTAAATTACCAGGGGGTATAGGGATTCATCTATTGTTAGATGCCATCTTTATAGAATATGCATGATTTGTAGAAGTCATCTAGAAGTGCAGAGTTTCTGTCCTTGGCTCCTGAACCTGAAGGAAGTAGTCAGCAGATGTCACCGGTAGATCCGGACTGGTGCGTTTTACGTAGGGAACGGATGGGTTGCTGGTGGTTGCTGGGATCATGAAATTGATAGCCAGTGGATCATTCCCGTTAAAATCAATTCCCTGCGTAATTTATACGCACCAGATTCAGAATTATGAATGGGATGATCATAGCCTGGATATTCGGGTTCTGTTTTATGCATCCCTCGGCTATAAAAAACCAGGGAGAATCCATGGGAAACATCTGATTTTCATGGGACTAGATGACCTGACGATGACTAGATCTACCCATTGGTCGTGTTGTTGATTCATCATGAAAGCCGTTGAAACTCGATACACGGCACACGCGCAAACTGGCCATGTCTTGGGAGGTCATCCCAGACTTGGCTGCTAAACCATGCCATGGCGCCTCTTTGGTTGATGATTTAAAGCGGGATTATTGGGGATACTCTCCAAATCATTATTGGGCATTAGATATGGTATAATCCACAAGAATCCGATATTAATATCAAAATCATTATCATGATGATGATGATGATGGTGGTGATGATGATTTAATGTCAAATCTATCCCTAAGATATTGGGCATTCTCAAAAAAAAACATGATCTGGGAATCCCGATCTTCACCAGCGGATCTTTTCGGATCTTTTTTAGCCAACTGCAGGAATGAGACATCTGACATGAAGCAGGGCAAGGGGCTGGAAAAGGATGACACTCTGAAGCAAAAGGAGGCTGAAGCTCAAGTGACCAATAGCCGCATGGATTTGCTGGGACATTTTGTGTTTTAACTTATTGATGCTCCACAAAACAAATGTGGCTAAGCTATACTGCGAAGATGTTGATGGTTCTTTTTCTTTTTTTGATGTCATTTTGATTGGTTGATTCGCGTTAATTGGAGGAATCTAGAACAAACATGAACAAACCCCAGGCTATGCCGGCTTTGGCAATCCCGGAGCCGGTGGAGGGGCAAAACCAGGGCATTTGAGACCTCCCGACTTTCGCAGCATACTGCAAAGTGACAATGCCAGCAGTGGCCCTGGTGCGTCCTTGGACAGTGGTGGAAATGGCTTGGGCGGCTTTGGTGCCGATGCTGGGATGAATTTGAAGCCACCAAATTTCCAGATGCAGACGGATACCAGCTCTGCACTCAATGCAGGAGCTGCAATTCCTAGCTTGTCCCAGCAGAATGACTTTGCTAGTGGACCAGCGCTCAAACCACTGCATTCAGCGGATGAGGTTCCTGAAAGCATTGGTGGCTTCGGGGAGCAGGCCGCTGGTGGTGTTGGTGGCGGGGGATTGAGTAGAGAAAGACGGATGAGACCTCCCGACTTTCGGAGCATACTGGAGAGTGACAACGCCAGCAGTGGCCCTAGTGAGCCAGTGCCTTTTGGCAATCAGGGCAATGATGGTGGTTTGGTCCTAAAGCCACTCGGCTCCTTGAATGGTGGTGGAAATGGCTTGGGCGGCTTTGGTGCCGATGCTGGGATGAATTTGAAGCCATCAAATTTCCAGATGCAGACGGATACCAGCTCTGCACTCAATGCAGGAGCTGCAATTCCTAGCTTGTCCCAGCAGAATGACTTTGCTAGTGGACCAGCGCTCAAACCACTGCATTCAGCGGATGAGGTTCCTGAAAGCATTGGTGGCTTCGGGGAGCAGGCCGCTGGTGGTGTTGGTGGCGGGGGATTGAGTAGAGAAAGACGGATGAGACCTCCCGACTTTCGGAGCATACTGCAGAGTGACAACGCCAGCAGTGGCCCTAGTGAGCCAGTGCCTTTTGGCAATCAGGGCAATGATGGTGGTTTGGTCCTAAAGCCACTCGGCTCCTTGAATGGTGGTGGAAATGGCTTGGGCGGCTTTGGTGCCGATGCTGGGATGAATTTGAAGCCACCAAATTTCCAGATGCAGACGGATACCAGCTCTGCACTCAATGCAGGAGCTGCAATTTCTAGCTTGTCCCAGCAGAATGACTTTGCTAGTGGACCAGCGCTCAAACCACTGCATTCAGCGGATGAGGTTCCTGAAAGCATTGGTGGCTTCGGGGAGCAGGCCGCTGGTGGTGTTGGTGGCGGGGGATTGAGTAGAGAAAGACGGATGAGACCTCCCGACTTTCGGAGCATACTGGAGAGTGACAACGCCAGCAGTGGCCCTAGTGAGCCAGTGCCTTTTGGCAATCAGGGCAATGATGGTGGTTTGGTCCTAAAGCCACTCGGCTCCTTGAATGGTGGTGGAAATGGCTTGGGCGGCTTTGGTGCCGATGCTGGGATGAATTTGAAGCCATCAAATTTCCAGATGCAGACGGATACCAGCTCTGCACTCAATGCAGGAGCTGCAATTCCTAGCTTGTCCCAGCAGAATGACTTTGCTAGTGGACCAGCGCTCAAACCACTGCATTCAGCGGATGAGGTTCCTGAAAGCATTGGTGGCTTCGGGGAGCAGGCCGCTGGTGGTGTTGGTGGCGGGGGATTGAGTAGAGAAAGACGGATGAGACCTCCCGACTTTCGGAGCATACTGCAGAGTGACAACGCCAGCAGTGGCCCTAGTGAGCCAGTGCCTTTTGGCAATCAGGGCAATGATGGTGGTTTGGTCCTAAAGCCACTCGGCTCCTTGAATGGTGGTGGAAATGGCTTGGGCGGCTTTGGTGCCGATGCTGGGATGAATTCCACTGCTGGGTGTCTTGACTTCAGCTTTGATCCCCCGAAAAATTCTCATGTCTACAATATTTGGGTACATACCCTCTGGTAAACGTTTACATAACTATGGAAAATCACAATTTTTTATGGGAAAACTCGCTATTTCAATGGCCATTTTCAATAGCTATGTTAAATTACCAGAGGGTACATGCAGAGCACACGTGACATATAAATATTACAAGCATGCCTCGTGAAGCTACGACCAGTGTCAATCCAGTGTCAATTGATCCTTTGCCTGGCCTGAAGCAACAAACAGGCTGATGTTAGCAGTAGAAAAACTATAGAAATTATGGTTGGTGTTCATGGTTATGTAGGCTTATGAACTACACAATACACCAATGGGTGATGCCGGTGATGGGTTTATGTAGGTGCATGTTTGAATTGACTCATGCTTCAGTTGCTCGCCGAGGCCAGTGTCAGATTTCTTTAAAGAGGAGAACGGCTATGTGCCATGCTTAGAACTCACTGGCAGCACTGTTGATGGTGGTAAGGAAGGGGGATCAACCTAGAATGGGTTTCTTTCAGGTGAATTATATACATTTATATACTATAAATCTATAATTTCGCAAGATTCCAATGATCAAATGGATCACAGCATATCAGCCTGGAGCATTTTCTGAGACCCAGATCTCGGTCATGTTCATCAATCAATAAGAATTCTGTGCGGCACGACTGCTGGATATTTGGAGTCAGAGAAGCTGGTATTTCGGGAACAGAAGATAACAGAAGGATGACAGATAATCGACGTCTATCTACATATATATATATATATGTGTGTTTAATTTATATTTCTTCATTTGTTCATTTACTGAATTACGTGTTTATTGTTTTTTTCTTATTCTAGACAATTCCTATATATAACAATCTCATATATATATATATACCATTTCCATCCATTTCCATCCATTTCCCAGCCGTATCAGTTTTTGTCCCCATATCTATGTCATTGGCCAGTACCCATCCATGTCAGATTGATTGTGCACCCCGTCATTCTTGTTTACACTATATACTGTAATACATATATATATATAGAGTATATACTGTATATATATAGTATAATAAATAAATACATACATACATAAATAACTAAATGAATGTATTTTATATAATAATAATAATACTACTAATAATAATATTATATATATATATATATATATCATCCGCAAGTGGATTATTCCTAGCGACCCACACCAATCCCAAGTGTTTTTTTGGTTATGTTGACGATAATCCTGGGGATATCCCATCCAGAAGACTGGATTAACCAGCCAAGCACTGACCAGTTACGAAAAAATCCTGGGAGCGCAGTGAAAAAAAAACACGGATACAGAATGACAAAAATAAGCATATTATATTACTGGTTGGTGGTTTGGAACATGAATTTAATGACTTTCCATAGACTGGGAATTTCATAATCCCAGCTGACGAACTCATATTGTTCAGAGGGGTAGGTCAACCACCAACCAGATATGGTACCCCAGTTGTATGTGGGATATCCCCAGTTAGGTTTTTTTTCAACCATCACTGGGTCCCGTGCATCCAAGTCGGGTGATTCAAACAGAGCTTTTTCATTGCTGAATCTCATTGAATCTATGTTTCAATGGGAATTTCAGGAACCGATTCATTGGAGGTACCTACCATATATAAGGCCTATTGTTCAGGCCTATGTAAGAGAATATCCCCACAAAATATGGCCTTATATGGTACAGTACCTCCATTTTAGGATCCTGAAATTCCCATTGAATATTAGTATACCTATGTTTGGTATGTTACTGTATGTATAATACTGTTGTTTTTTTTTTTCAAGCTGTTACCTATGATAGTACAATCTATGTTAGAAACTCCAATAGTATAATATAGTATATATATACCTATGTTCTATATTTATGGGGTGTTCCACAAATGGTGGTACCCAAAAACGCTGGATTGTGAATCTTTCCATGGGAAAATCCATCTATAAATGGATGAGAACTGGGGGTACCCCCATGGATTGGAAACCTCCATGTAGGTATCCCATACTCATTGGATCCATCGCAGGTGCCCAGCGTTGCAGCGTCCGGCGGCCGCCGGCGCCGGCCACGCGCAGGTGGGATATGGCGGGATGACAGATGAATGGGACATCGATGGTGAGTGGTGTCCAAGAAAAACATTGCCTTTTGGCGAAGCAAAATAGGTTGGTCTCAAACAATTTTACCGGCCGTTTGTTGTTGGGAAAATGATTATAAGTCATCAACATTGCGGGTGCCCTATTTCTCGAAGTCAGAGGGGGTTACCAATATGAAGCCAGCAATTGGTCGTTTTTGATTCGGGGTTGTGACGATAGATTGAGCCACAGCCAATTAATTGGTTGGTGCGTTTTTGCAAAATCGGATGCGACCAAAAGCCAATCAGTGGAGACAAGCTCAACATTTTGCTACTTGGAGGGTCATTATATCGTCCCAGAGATCCAACATGACTTACAATTTGATAGTTGATAGTCATGTAAGCTGTGGCCCCCCAACTAGCTGCATAGTGGCCAATATCCCACTATGTCATTACATCATATGACAAAATCGCATTATATCCCCACTACTTTCTGGTAGTCTAACATAGCTCTGGATTTTTTTTCCGTTTTTTTTTCCATAGATGTGAGTGAAATTCCCAGCCAGGTCGTCCCCAGCGTTTTTGCTGGTTCAATCCCCTGAGTGGGGATTCCCCGGGGTCCCTTGGGACCGGGGGACTGTCCTGGAACACATTCAGCGTTTAGCGTTGAAACAATGCACCAACAACAATAGGATTTCATCGGGATATAGTTGGGACATCATTGGGATGTACTTGGGTATACTTGCTATACTATGGATGGATTAATAGATACAAAGTGAGGCCCCCTAGACTACTAGATAGCTAAGTTGGTTTATAACTCCAATAACTATGGTTTATGGTACTTATAACTATAGTTACTGGGGTTTATAAACCAATTTATAACTGGGGGGCCCACATTGTATTAATGGGATGTTAATGGAAATACAATGGAAATATAATGGGATAATATAACTATAGCAAGATGTGATACGGATAACAAAAATGTGGATGAAATTCTTCATCTCCCAAAAAATGACATTTTTACGTCGAATATTGCCCACATTTTTTTTGTGGGGAATCATCCCCGGTCATGACCGTATGAGATCAGTCTTGTTTCCTTGGGGATCGAACAAAATCCATGGTGGATACCATTGGGTACCCCAGATTTGATACATGGTGTTTCCATGCTGATGGATTTTCCGGTGGGGTGTCTAAGCATATTTTCAGAGACTATGGCGGGCCCATACGTTTTTAAAACATACCCTTTAAATGGTAATGACTGTTACAGTTTGCAAACTGGAAAATGGCCCATAGAAATAGTTGATTTACCTATTAAAGATGGTGATGTTCAATAGCTATGTTAGTTTACCAGAGGGTAAAACATATTTCCCAGTGCCAATTGTTGAAATTTGGGTGGGACACCCTCCACATTTCAGTGTGAAACAACCAAGTGCGACAGGTTGTGCAAGGTAGCAAGACAGAGTTGTCACATTAGCTGTGAACAGCTGTCAATCAGAGCTACGCGATAAGAGTTGCAAGAGTTGCAAGGAGTGGCACCAGTTCTTCTTGTTATTAGGTACCCCATGATCCAGCGGGTTATCATCATGTATGTATATATATATAATATTAATTGAATTGCCTACTTTGGGGTATACCTAATTTTCAGAGAAACCCTGCTGTGTTTTTTTGTTTAAAGAAAGGTGCAACTTTACACAGAGCATGACTTTGACAGATATCTCCCAGCATGTCGGTGGTGCCCCTGCAGTCTTGTAACTGTTTTTGTTTCAACCCATTAACAAGAGATATCAATTTATAAAGCCAACTGTCATTGGAGTCGTGTATTCAACTTCACCTGAAGAGATGAATGCACGCGTAAGAAAAAAGGCCATGCTGGCTATTTTCAAGAGATTTGTCCATCTAAATGTTGGATAGACGATGTATGAATATATTTAGATTTATATGATGTGTGTATATTCATGCTTATATATAATATAATATAATAGTATTTTTATTGTGCATCTATCTCTATATATATATGATATATATATTGTTAAAACCATGTCCGGAAAATAGCAATAAGAAGAAGAACTGCGGAGGTCTTTACCTCTTCAAAACTGGCTTAAGACTGTTTAATTTGAAAAATACCGGCAGAAAACAAAAAAACGAGTTCGGTGTTTTTAACATGTTCTTTTTGTCAAAAAGAAACACGTCAACAAAAATGGGATGTGACCCCCAACTACTGACTTTCGTTCTTTTTTCCACGGGATGCCTCAACCACAAGGCAGAAAGAGTAGGACTCGTGAAAAAGAAATGTCAAGGAGACTGGGCCGGAACCTGCCCTCGAAAAACTGGGATTTCATTCATTTAGTTTTGTCTGTACCATCTGGTTATTTAACATAACCATGGAAAATCACCATTTTTAATAAGTAAACCATCTATAAATGGGCCATTTTCCATGGCTATGTTAAATAACCAGATGGTAATGGGGGATTGAATTCGAATGGAAATTTTGCAAGAAACCTCCATAAAATCATTGGCAGAAATCCTAGTTTGGAGTAGGTTTTCTCAGAAAGTTCAATCCATAAGACTGGAATTACGGGAACTGCATTGGGGAGATCCCAAAATGGCTAAAGTTGTCAGACTTGTGAGTGCACCTTGAAAAAAAATCGGCCTTAGAAGGCAGAGCAGACATCTGACCATGCTGTCACGGTTGGTGCATCTTCCCAAGACTGAAGCTGCTTGCTTTGTTCGGCACCCATGGGCCTTCTCATCTCAAGTTCCTGGACGCGCCAGTGGAGTTTTCAGGTAGGATTCCTGCGATGCGGGAGCGCAGGCTTGGACATTATAACTATAATAGTTTTGCTGCAACCAAGGTTTTCAGACGCGCGCGCGCGTGTCACGAAAATTAAACCTGGCCATGAGCCTGTGTGGTAGTTGCGTTTGCAATGTGGGGCTGTGGGGTCTGGATACTGGCGGCCGCCACAATAGGGACGGTGACTTTGCTTTCAATTTCAAACGCCTACTTCAACACATTCCATGCCAGTGCGCTGGCTGCCTGGGGTGAAAAACGCGAGAGCAACAAAGACAATATATTCAGCTAAATTGTCGCAGTTTGTTTGTTCACCAGACCTTTCACAAACCCAAAGACAATCACCGTGCCTTATTTGTTAATATTTGTTAAGACGTTTCCACTTTCTCATGGTCCATCGGTGGGCATGGCTTGACACCAGGCCAATTGTAGTAGCGTGAAGATAGTGATTGCGGGACTGGAGCGCGTGTTGCTGCGGTGCAACGCGGCTGTGATGGAACACTTTGTTGGTGAGGAACAAGTGGTGCTTTCGCTCAGGGTTCAACAGCAAATTGATGTTGCAAATGTTTGCAATGTGTGTGAAACTGTCCCAGGACTTGTTATATATAATCGTTTGCACTATTGCTTCCTTCCAAACTCAATTTTTTGTCCGACGTTGGGTGGGGCCACTCACTCCGCCCCTCTGCTGGCGGTTTTACCGTGGCAACGGGCTCCAAAGAGCAGTGTTTGCCGCGGGGGCCGTGGTTGGAAGTCGGTGATTTGAGGAGACGGAGGGAAACATGTGTTTTTTTTCTGGATATTGTTTTTTTTGAGTGATAAGTCAACAAGCGGCACCGATTGAAAGAATTGGTTGGTTACCACTGTCACCTCCACATTGTGATTTTCAGTGGTTGTTTATCAAAAATCGTTCCATGCGCCACCTGGGTTTTAGCCAACGTTGGCCGGTTGCTCTACATTTTTATGAATCTTCCAGAGTTTCCTCAAATGGCCAAAGGCACTCCTGCCTAGTTCATGCCTGCCGGCCTCGAATCATGAATGCTTGCATGAACCAACTGCCAGTTGATCACTGATAGATTGTGATACTAAGTTTGGCTTAATTTATGCCCCCAAAATGCATGAATACGCAGGTTTACTAAGTGTAAGTAATACGGTCACAATAATGCATGATATGCATGGAATGTCGTGGTATAGACTAGAGTCTGAAACGATTTCCCCAAAACATGTTTCAATGTTTTGCCCATTGGTTTGTGCATTGATGGCATTGTCCCAGTGGGTGATGGGAATTTCGGAATGTGCTTCGTTTGCAGGCCGCCCCAGAGGTACGATCAGTTCAGGTTTCAACAGCGGATACCAGAATATTTTGCATACCATCATCTGATAAAATATCGTAGGTATGGAAAATAATTTGTTTGTAGATATTTACCGATTAAATAGGGTGATTTCGCATAGCCAATTATGTTATTATGTTAAATTACCAGCGGGTTGATGAACAAAATTGAACGACGCCTGAATTGATTTACAAGCAGGCACCCTAGAAAAGGGGCTGGGTTAGCATTGAAAGTGACGAACCAATGTGTTTTTTAGCCAGTGCTGGCGCCGGCTTACGCTTGAGGCACCAATATATATATATATATGTATACATATATACACATATATACATATATATATATATGTATGTATGCCCAACATTTGAACAGCATGATTTTGAATCACTTTACCTGAAGATATAGTACTACGAAGATAATCTCATTTGGCGCGCTGAATTATACCAGTATATTTTGACACATAGAAAACTTCAACTTGGCTCAGTTGGCTCATCCTCTGCTGCGCGGTTCAGCTCAAACGGCAAGGGCGCTTGAGCCATGGCACGGGATCAATTGATGCCGGGTAAAATCGACAGCAGAGAGAACGCATCAACATTGACCATCCTAGATGATTTCAGGAGGATGTTTTATTTTTACACAGGTATTGAGAGTTTCTCCCTTTTATAAGGTTTGCCAGCGACTTTTGCTTGTGAAAATAGCGGCTAACCTTGGGAAATCGGATGACGTTTGCATGCATTCACATGTCAGTAGAGCAACCAATGGGTTGTTTTCTGGGCAAAGGTGGGTACATATTCCAAAATTTCATGGAGCATTTGGACATGGTCATGCAAAGATCCACTCCTTATCCGTTCGATACTTCCCCACCTGCCAGGGCTGCATGCCGCCCGCCTCCTCCTCCTCCTCCGCCTCCTCAACCGCGAGGGGCAGATGTCAGTGGGCACTGCCGGACCTCAACAGCGAGCGCCAGATGTCAGATAGAATGCCACACAATGCCAGATAGAATGTCAGAATATGCGTCAGATAGAAACCAGATAGAATGTCAGAATATATATCAGATAAAATGCCAAGCAGGATGCAATATAGAATGCCAGATGGAATGTCAGTAGATCTATGTCAGGAAGACTGCCAGATAGAATGTCAGATTATATATATATAAATATATATTTATTTATATATTTATATAAATATATATATTTATATATTTATATTTATATATATATATATACATCCAATAGCCAATATATTTGATTCCATCTCTCCAGTCTGCTTGGCATAATGGCCATTAAAACTTCACAGCCTCAACCACAAGGGTATCATAAGCGGTATAGGCTGTCTTTAGAATCAATGATTTTGTTGGTGGTTTGAACATGTTTCAATCATGTTTTTTGCCAAACAGTTCCCATCCTTAGAAAATAATAGGGCGAGACCTGATGCAACAAAGTATTATTATTATTGTTCTTACTATATACTTATGACATCTTATGATTCTATATGTATTTTTGTGATTCAATATGTTTCAATCATTTCAATCACACAAAGAAGTCACAAATCTGTGCCATGGTTGTGGCATGAGGCTGGTTTTGCTTTGATCTCGTGTCAGATTTCAAGGATCGCCAGTGCCTGCAACAGTTGCAGGAAAACCCTGGGATTTCCCATGAACTTCATCGCTGCCACCGCCCCTCTTAAGGAGGGACATGCATCGAATCTAAAATCTGTGCATGCTGAGAAAAACCCGCGAAACTTGGGACTCTGCTCATTGAGATGTTTTTTTCCCATCACACTCATCACACCAAGCGATTCTTATCAGTTGCCGCTAAACCCATTTGAGTTTGGTATATCCCGATATCCCCATAATTACCAATCACCTTTCCCAATTCGGAGCGTGTTTTTTTTCTGGATGATTTCGGGCCACACGTAGAGATTTCGGGCCGGATCGACGAAACCCGCACCGCAGTCTGCGGCCTGCGAGGTGCTTGAAACCGTTGCGCGTTTGCCGTATTTCTCCTACATCACGGTGGCGTTGACACTGTTGCTGGGAGATTGGGGTAATGATTTGGATGTTTTTGAGGTCCAATTTCATGCAAAAACCCACTTCGGAAATGTGGTAAACTATGGTAAACCCATTGAACCCACCATGTTTTCAGTGTACTGTTCTCACGGAGATGATGGATGTTGGTAAAACTTGGTATGGTTCATCATGACATATTATGACGTTTAACCGGTGTTGACCATATCAGGAAGGACTTGTTTTTGGATCAACATCTCTGTTTAAAAGCTCCGCAGGGTCCATTGTCACCCAAGGTCTGCCGGAGGAATTAAGAGGAACTGGGGGTCACCCCGAGAACGATCAGCACATATACCCTCTGGTAAACTGTTATTTACATAACTATATATTGAAAATCACCATGTTTAATGGGAAAATTCACTACAAATGGTCATTTTCAATCGTTATGTTAGTTTACCAGAGGGTATCATCACTGAGATTACCATCAAAAGGTTTGTTGAAACTCCAAGAACTTGATGGGTTGTGGGGATACACTCCAGTAACATAGCGATGAAAAACCATGGTTATTTTCATTTAGTTACATGATTTACCTCTATGACAACGGTGATTTTCCATAAACATGTTAGTTTACAGTAGGCTTCTTTTCAACGAATGAGTTCCTGCAATGACGTGATGTTTCACTCCGGCACAGTTTCACATAAATCAGTGACAATCATGCTCAAAGCAACCGGTCATGTTTTATGTTCAACTATTTGCACACTCAGTTTCAACAGGCAAACGTTTGAACCAGCATGTAATTGAGATAGATGCTCCGCACACTCTGTTTCTGGTTGGTGGTTTGGAACATGAATTTTATTTTTCCATTTGGTTGGGAATTTCATAGCCCCAACTGACGAACTCATATTTTTCAGAGGGGTAGGGCTCAACCACCAACCAGATATCCATCATTATGGTGAAATCAGATGAATCTTCCATTGATGATTTACCCATTAAAAATGGTGATGTTCCATAGTTATGTAAACGTTTACCAGAGGGTAATTGAGATAGATGCTCCGCACACACTGTTTTTATGGTAACTAATACATGACGCGTTGCGACTAATCTCGAAGCCAACGCCGGATTCAACTTGCACGATTTCCAGGTGTTGCATCTCTACGAATCATTAGGCGTTCCACCGGTGGATGGTGCGATCTCATGGGTACCAGAGTTTAGGTAGTTGAAGACAACCCTAAAGTTCTAATGATAGCTGTTCATGAAGACTCAGTTCTAGATAACTTGCTGCGCCAAAAAAAATTGGATATCGGATCGTCGGACACTCTGAAACTATGCTGCATCCATCCCAATTTCTTCTGGCTTCGGTATTTTTTTGCCGCCGAAAATAGAGGTGATGAAATTTGAACAAGCGTTTGCTGTTCCGAAGAGGTGGTTGAGAATTTGAGGGCTATGTAACTTATGTCTCTTACTTTGCGATCTTCAGTTTGAAACGCACTGTGGGGAACAACTCTGACAGACAATTCTATCCCTGGAACAGCGACCCCTTCCACTTCGGATTTATCCCAGTGGATACGTTTGTTGAAGATACCTTCCATGTGTTGTTTCTACTTGCTGTCTCTAGTTAGTCTAGTTTAATATTCGACGATGTTCCACCCACTATCTATGGATGGATGGATGGATGGATGGACAGACAGAGACAGAGACAGAGACAGAGACAGAGACAGAGACAGAGACAGAGACAGAGACAGAGACAGAGACAGAGACAGAGACAGACACAGACACAGACAGACACAGACACAGATAGATTAAAAAAACTAGATTCTAGATAGATAAACAATTGGATAATTCAATAAACATAATATATAGGAATATCGAGTGACTCTAGACATTATGTCAATTCATTATAGTTCAATATATGAATATGTACATACACTGTATACATATATATATATGTATATATATATATAGGATGGATGATCATTCCTCACCACGTGATGTCACTGGAATGATGGTCGCTTTGCCTTTTTCGCCAAAGGTTGGTGGAGATCCCCGGAGATACGACACATCCACTCAGCAGAGGAGGACCGATACGCCGGCTGTGTCGACGATTTGGTTATGGGATAAGTTATGGGATAAACCATAAGAAATCCCACAGAAACTGGCCATCCTTTTTTTCATTGAAGTATGGCCATCCACAAAATTTTGACACAAGTATTCCATCCACTGGTTTTGCAATTCATCGTTTTCCTTTTCAAAACTGGCCATGAAACAGGCACAGCAAGTTCGATGGTTGGAAGCTCCAAGCCATAATGATGCGCCACCTTGTACTACAAGGTGCTGGTGCATAGTGAGGTTATAACTCTATGCTTAACTATGCTTAACTATGAGTATTATAACTTTAGTGAGATAGAAAACACACCAACAAAAAAAACAGTCACCACCTTGTATACTATGGAAATGGACTGTGACCAAAGGTCTAAATGATTGGCTTCAACTAGAACCATCGGTGTGCCTGAAAGTTGAGTATACGCCAAAATTATGACCATCATTTTAGTGGGGCAAATGGTGATGGTAGCCTATCTTCAGATAAAACCACATCTTTGAGATTGATTTTTCACTGTTGACTTGCTCGTTTTTTTTTTTTGTATTTCGATCTCCAACACTTTGTGGAGTGCTTCATACTTCCCATTTGATATTCTTTATTTTGTTTCTCGATTTGCGTGCAATGTTGATGCTACAACACCAGGCCGGATTTGCCTGATTTCACCTGTGACCCGGTAGTGGGATGATCAGATACCATTCACCAACACCAGGGCCACCAGGGTTCCAAGAATTTTGGGGTCCCTAATTCTTACTGGTGCGTTTTACGTAGGGAATTTTAACGGGAATGATCCGCTGGCTAACTATCAATATCAGTAATCATCCCAGCAACCCCCAGCAACCCATCCAGCAACCCTACGTTTAGCACCAGTAAGTAATTCTACAGTGAGCCTAAACCACATCGCCCTCATGGTTTGGGGGATCAAAAACCATGGAATTCCTTTCTGTTCAAAGTTCAAAGCAAAATAGATGGAATCTATCGATGTTCCTCCCCCAGCTATGGACGCTATGGCCCATGTTGTTCCTTGGTTTATTTACCTATTATGTTTGTTCATATAAAATTTTGGGTCATTGCCGCATGGATATAGTAATACATATATATATATATACAGATAACGAATTATATAGAGCTATAATATATGTATATATAATATGTATATACATATACAGACAATATAGATCATGATCAGTAACAGATGCTATAATTATATAAATGTTATCGTTGCTTGCAGAAACATACAATCATTGGATTCGACAGCCAGGACAATGAACTTCATCACCTTCTCATTATGGAGGACAGGTCTCAACTATTCCGCTTTAAACGGGACTTTTTAATGCGGTTGCATGGTGATATGGGATTTCATGGGATTTAATCAACAAACATGGGGATATTCATGGGAATTTCCCTCCAACAAACTAACATAGCTTTTTTTTGCTATGGAGCATGGACTATTCATAGATTCATAGATGATTTACCACAATTTACCTCGTAAAATAGTGCTTTTCCATAGCTATGTTAATTTGCCAGAGGGTAGAGTGGATGAAACAGTGCCATGTCAATTTTTTTCGTCAGCATCCCAACTGTCCGGTGAATGGAGGGAACTATATAAAGAGATATGATATGGTTGTGTCTTCACAAAAAATGGGGAGCCGAGGATGCGAATTGAGATGTCAAAAGACATGTGATACAAAAAGCCCAAAATTGGGATGATAGTTATGGTCATGACATGACTTTAACAAAAATGTGTGGATTCTCCAAAGCCTCAAGCTCCGCCCCATACTTCTGAGAGGGGTGCCATCAACTTTGGGATGCCTACAAAATCTCTATTTGGAGGTTTCCTAAAATAGGGGTACCCCTAAATCATCCATCATTTCAGTGGGATTTTCCCTTATAAACCATCCAGCTATTGGGGTACCTCCATTTTAGGAAACCTCCATTTGGTATTATTTGGTATTGTTTGGTTACTCCTGGAGAGTGTGAGCACTACCGCCGGAGAACCTTTCAGGTTTCCAACATCTCGACTAATATTGACATGTCTACAAGGTGGTGCCCCCTAGATAGCTAAGTTGGTTTATAACTACAATAACTAGGGTTTATGGTAGTTATAACTATAGTTAGATTGGGTTATAAACCAACTTATAACTAGGGGGGCACCACCTTGTATCTAGTTTGGACATTTCATACGGGTTTGTCTGAAATAGGGTACCCCAGAAACCAGTGACATTTATCACCATTTTCTCTATTGAATGGCCATAATTGGGGTGTATCCCAATTTCAAATGAACCCATAAGTTGTTGTAATGTGCTTGAAGCAATAGGATCTACAATCCCCAAAGCCACCATTTTTATTGGTTGGTTTATTGCTTTAACCACATTACCATGAAATCGCATGAAGCGTTTTAGACATCCAATTAAATACCTATTCTGGTTGGTGGTTTGGAACATGAGTTTCATTTTTCCATATATTGGGAATTTCATCATCCCAACTGACTTTCACTCCATCATTTTTCAGAGGGGTAGGGCTCAACCACCAACCAGATATCCATCATTATGGTGAAATCAGATGAATCTTCCATTGATGATTTACCCATTAAAAATGGTGATGTTCCATAGTTATGATGTTCCAGCTGCATTAATCATCACAAAAAACCCTTAAGTCGCAATTGTTGGTGATCACTGCGTTGCTGGTGCCCGCTTCGTTGCTGGTGCGCGCCTTCTGTGTTTCCGTGAGGCTCTGGGTGGCGATGCCAGCTGGTTCGACCGCTTCGCCGCGCAACATGCGGTGGCGATGCCGGAGTTGGTTTCCCAAAATGGGGGGTTCCAGATCCCTACAATGTGGGGCCCCCCAGTTATAAATTGGTTTATAAACCCCAGTAACTATAGTTATAAGTACCATAAACCATAGTTATCACCAACTAACCATAGTGAAATTGGAGTTATGTTCACCAACTTGGCTATCGTAAACGGGGGCCCCACTTTGTACCCTCTTAAAAATGACATTTCAGGGGGGGGAGTCGTACTGAAATGTCATTTGTAAAATTCATATTTTTGGCATGTTTTTTCTCAATGATCAACCATGATCAACATAGGGTTTTTTGTGATGGTTCCATCATTTTGGGGGGGATCCCAAAAACGCTGGATGATTTCAGCTAGACATTCCCATGCCAAAAAGGAGTCATCAAAAAAGGGGGGAAGATTCGATTCACCAAAAAGAGTTTGGTGAGCTTTGGGTGCCAGGCAATCTAGTTAAGGTGATTTCAACATATATCAAATTGTATATCTTCTATGTGAAACTTTCTAGTTGGATAATGTTGGATATATGAAATAATTTCTAGTTGGTGATTTCAACATGTTTCAACATGGTTTATTTTCAGCAATATATTTGCGATGATGATCCCCAACGACTGTAATATTTGTCGTTGAGACCACGAGGTTTAACGGCACATTAAATTGCACTCCAAGTTTGATTGGTTTGATTAGCTTCTGGTAATTTAACGTAGCTATGGAAAATCACCATTTTTAATGGGAAAATCCACTATAAATGGCCATTTTCAATAGCTATGTTAGTTTACCAGAGGGTAGCTTCTAGCTTCTTAGCCATGTGGTAGAGATTTTTTTAAAGAACACGCGACCAGAAAAACATTGGATCCAAAAACCACCAGCGATATCCTGAATTCCTGCAGTTATGGCCATAAAAACCAGTTATAACTGGTTATTTCTATGGGATGAAATACATTAAATGGGGTGACTTGTTAGTACTTATAACTGATAGCCATGGCCATAACTGTGAAAACCAGTCATCCCATTGGAAGCTGCTTCCCAGAGAAACCGACATGTCATGGATGGGACTATCCATTTCATGAACTGGATGTCAAATATCCAGAATTGCGCACAATTCTGAAACTTGATGACTCAGTATAATAACATCCGCAAACTTTTCCACATCTCTTCTCCACATTTCCCCCATTTTGAGTGAACAAAAACAGCTCTGGTAACTGCGGAAGGCGCTGGTTTATTACTGGATCATCACGGGACTCTTCATCCTGAGCCCGGAGAATGCGTCCGGATCCCGAGGACAAAATCATGGTTCCAGGAGGGGGTCGCCCTATAAGGCCTGTGAAACTTTCGATGGTTGGAAATCTATTGGGAAGGATTCCAGTCAACATTGTGAAACATTGTGAAACTACCCTCTGGTAAACATACAAAAAGCTATGGATAATCACTATTTTTAATGGGTAAATCCACTATAAATGGTCATTTTCAATAGCTATGTTAGTTTACCAGAGGGTAGTTGTTGTGATGATTCTCAAGCTATTTGAATGAAAAACAAGTACAATGATGGGGGTGTAATAGACTGACACCTACCCTTGCCGAGCGATGGTTCAGAAGGTTAGTACGGGACCAATACTGAACCATAACAACATACAAGCTCTTGCCCCCCAGGTATAAGACGTAAAAAAAAGATGTTATAAGTTTGTTTTTATACGCCCATTAAATGATATTAAATGTAGTAGTACATCCCCTTTATAAAGCCTTTTTTTAACCCAAACGTTAACCAAGTTATGATTCAACTTAGCGATCTAGGGAGACTCACCTTGAGCAGGTACAACTTCTCTCACCTTGTTGAGGCGAGCGGCGGCGAGCGGGTCGACCATACATTTGGACGTCACGACGTAAATGATGGTAATGTCAACCCCGGATAAATTAAAACCATAGTTTATTGATTAGGGGGGTACTCCCCTAATAGTCATAATCTGATACTGAAATGCTATTCCCCCAATGAAACAACCTAGGGCTTTATTAATCCAGGGTTGACATTAAGTAGTTTTTGGGTCACACTCCAATGATCGAAGTTTTCGGGAATCCCATGTTGTCATGAGTTAAATTGTATTACTGATTATTACTGTATATTATACATTATATAATCTTCACTAAAGCAACATAAAGCCGGCACCACAATGATTTTTAGGAAGTGCACGACTCAATCCACTGATTTCAATTCGTCTTCCTGGCCGATTGAAGCCTCGTGGCTCGCCTCGTGGCTCGCCACGACTTGAGGGTCCATCAGTAAGCCTACCAGCCGTTTGAGTCCGTTTGTTTTTTTTTTAAATGACTTATGACGATTAGAAAAACCATGGTATCTTTCTGTGTGAGAGGTTTGAAGTGTTCTGAACTCTTGCTGTTGGTGGTTCAATTTTCTGATGGTACGTACCATCCAATCCGCAGATGAAACTCGCCATCCGCACTTGTGACATCCGACCGGTCGTATTCCATTTCTCTTCATCGCTGGAGAGAATGATGACTGGTTGCACTTTGGATGATTGTCAATCAGCTCTATGGGTACATGAGTATATACAGTATATAATGTGGTTAAAACAAGAATAAACCATCCCCCAAATCACCATAAATAGATGGTATAAACCATTCCCAAATGGGTAGTTTATGGCATTGTTTCAACCACATTACTTAAATCATTGTTAAATCATTGAAAGAAAACAGAAACTACGAACTCAATCCCATCCTGATACTATGATTGGGGGTTCCTGTCACATGCGACAAGCATGCTATTGGCCCCAAAATATCATCATCAGGAGGTGTCCCCAGGGAAACATAGGGGACATATTTATATATAATATAACTATATACATATATATTTAAGGGGTGAACTATATATATATATATGTAGCTCGGGGAGGAGTCTACAAAGGTAGGGACCCAGCTTCCCCTAGTCCTTCGGGGTTTCCAACAAAAGGGGTAACCACACCCCAAAAGGCTCAGCCGGCACCCTGTGCCTATGGATGAACGTCCAACGTTACACTTCTCGGATTTGTGCAGCGTCCGCGCTGCTTGTTTTCCACACCTTGCGGAACTTGAGCCATTGGCCCGGTCGAACAGCGAGGTCTCCATGCTGGTACACCTGCAAGGCACATCCAAGGCATATATTGGCTTTTCACACTGGTGTCTTTTCTTTTTTGGATGTGCCTTCATCTTGCTTGGTCATCCATCTTGATGCCATCTTCTTATGGGTATTGTTTTTGAGTGTCTGATCTTCATCGAAAATACGAAAACGACCCAAATGCAAAACAGTTCGTAAAAAGCTGGCATCCATCGGCTTCGTAAGGCAGTCTGCCAACATGATGGCTGTCGAAATCCATCGGCATTGCGTATGACCATCTGACTGTTGTTTGATCAGCATGACTTCCACAGTTGTTCTCCATTCTTGGCAGTTAGGAGTTGCCAACTTGGATACTAAATCAAAAAGGGACTTGCAGTCAGTGATCAACAGTGCTTTTGGTTCATCTTGTAGAGACTTTTCTGGGTGCTGCCATTTAAAGCTTGGATTGTGGATGAAGGCCCACATACATCGGATCCATGTCAGCTTATCCAGGGATGAACTCATTGCATACGCCTCAGCGCTCAGCGTTGACCTGACTACCCGGCCAATTTGCTTAGAGTTCCATGCAACAGGACTGATGTCAGACGTTTTGTTTTCACTCAGTGCTTTACTGCATGCAACTATAAACAACCCCTGTTGCGCTCGGAGCTGAGAGGCGGATGCAAAACTGGCGTCACCAAAACTTGCAAAGGTGGTATCTTCCAGAGACAGCGGACGTATCTGGATAGCAGTCGGTGCCGTCTCTTTCGCTTCCAACAGAACTTTGTTACCATCTAAAAGATGCTGAACTTTGGCTTGAGGGATGCTTTTCTGTAAAAACGACACCTTTGCTGCCAGATCCGGACGGCTGTGCACAGCAGCGTACTGGAGGCTGCCGCACAGGGCACGCAAGTCCTGAACTTCTTGTTCAGTGGCGTTGTCATCCTTTTGGACTCTCCTATTCTTAGCTATGTTTATGGGATCTATCTTATTGATATATTCCCCTTGGCTAATTCGAATGGAGTTGTCTGGCAATTGTTCGATGTCCAATCCGGTGAACTTGAACTTTCGGTATTCTCTTTGTCCAAAGGGCAAGATTTTGTGGAGTTTGGTCAGTGCCTTTTCAAACACTTCGTTCCCTCCCCCAATACCATCATCGACATGAGTGCCAAGGATCCCATTCAATTTCTGTGGATTCTGAGGGTCTCGCAGCATGAAGAGGCATCCATCCAAAGGATGTGCACTAAAGCCTAAACTTTCCAGCTGCTTGCGAAGTTCACGATAGAAGAGTAGTGGTGCATCAACCCTTCCGTATGCATTTCCTTCCAGCAAACATACTTCATCTTTGCCCATTTTCAGGAGGTCCCGTAACTCACTTACTGGTTCCATGGCTAGTTCTCTACCATCAGCTCTTCCCCTGAGGAATGCGGTCGTGATGTCAAAGCTTTGGATATCCCAACCTGAGGAACACACTGTTTGAAAAAGGAGTTGTCGGGCATCTCTTCCAAGTGTTGGACTGTCGGTGTTTACTTGATCAATTTCCGGATCTTGGTAACCCCTGACAACAAGGCGGGCTTTGTGTTTATGCCCACTTGGTGAAGTTGGGTCTGGCTTATATGTGAGGATCCATCTCGAGGTCATGATTCTATCAGGGTGAATGCGATTCCTCAGGATCCTTTTCACGGTGCTTGTTTTAAGCCAGCAACGGAGCTCTTTGTCCTTAGCTCGATCGAAGAGTTGCTTCTCTTCGGAGCTAAGCGTGGAATACCTCACTTCGGCTCGGGACTTTTTGGCCGCGGTTGTCAAAAGCACGGCGTGGGTTTTGGGCTGATGTGATACTCTTTCCATCAGCTGCCAGGGCATCTCGAATTCAAAACTGCAATGGTCCAGCGATTGGTCAATCGCATCTGTCCAAAGTGTGTCTTCGTCACCTTGTAAGACAGGGCCATCAGGAACAGATTCCACTATGCAGGCATCGTGGACTACGTTATCAGCAGTGGCTACATGATGAGCTACACTATTCTCCCCCTGGCTCTCCCCTACAGAGGATGCTTCCCCAAATGATACATGTGAGTTTTCTCCCATGTTTTCTCCCCCTTCCGCTGGGTTTGAAGGTGCAAGTGAAGGTTCATATGAAGATCCGGCATGGTCGCTTTCAAAATTGTCATTGGGTATTGGTGTTTCAACTGGAGTTTCCAATGACATTTCAGGGACTTCTATATTGGAAGCTCTTCGGGTTGGTTCTTGTTCGGGTTGTAAGGCTGTGTGTTCTCTACGGCTGATTTCTTCGGGATCTACAATGGGGTCTTCACCCATGTCTGAGAACTGGAACATGCCACTTCGATCATGGAGTCGTGCCTGCAATTGACTTGACATTTGTTGGATACGCGCGAGCTCGACTTGTTGGCTGAAAGTCGGATGGTGCTGAAGCTCTCTCAAACTGACTGGTCGGAGGTTGTCACGTGCACATCTAAGCAAACGGTTCATGTGTGTCACCCAAACAATGGTCTTGGATTCTGTGAGAACAACTTGTGCTGGACCGCACCATTTACCTTTCTCCAACATATTTGGTGACTTGCGACGATCCCAAAACATGCATGGCTGGCCACATTGCCATTCTATTGGAACTCCTCTAGATTGTTTCAGAAGGGCTCTTCTGATGGCTTGGGAATTGTCACTTTCAACAAAGGCTTTTCTAGCTAACGTTCGGAGTTCCAAAGCTGCTCGGAAACGAGCAGCTTCTGGGCTGTCGCCAGTGGCTTGTAGATGGGCTGTGTCATCTTGGTCACCTAAAATCGAGGCTGGCAACTTTGTGGCGCGTCCCAAAACAGCTTGTTCGGGGCTGTATCCATTGATACATGACATGGCATTCTTGGCTCGGAAGCTTTGGGACAGTGCTTGGTCGAACTCTCGATCATTTTTGATAGGGCTACTGTTGTCAATACGGGACAGCATTTCTTTGACGACCCCCCCATGACGTTCTACCCTACCTCTTTGCCATGGTCCGGCTGTTAAGATTGGCTTGATTCCTTCCTGTTGCAAAAGGTTTTTCATTTCATCAGAAACCAATTCTCCTCCACAGTCCATCATGATTTCCTGTGGCGTTCCGGCCCATGCTTGCCAGCTTTCGGAAAAGACTTTCCATGTGCTTGCAGTGTCGCGGCATGATCGGTGTCCTAAGTGAAACTGAGTGGCTTCATCGATAATGTGTATAACATACCCTTGAAAACCAGTCTGACCTTTCCACTCGAAACCGTCCAAAGAAATTCGCTGGTTAAAGTCACGTGCTTCTTTCAGGACACCTGGTGGATTCAGCGACGGAGGTCTGCGTTCGGCGCATGAGGCACAAAGATATTCTTTGGCTGCATCAATCATCTCAGTGGAAGCTCCTCGCTCTGCCAAGTGCTTGGCCAGTCTTTCTGCAGTTGGATGGCTTAAGTTATTATGTAACTTCTGGATAACCCTTTGCTTGGTCGGTTCTAACGCAAGGAATTTTGGTCCGGAGATGGTTGCTGCTGCGGAGGTCCATGTGCTGGCTGGGACATCTACGTTGTCACACGGCTTTTCCATGGAATCCTGTTGGTCCATTGGAACATCAATTGTGTCCTCCGTTTCTCGGGGAGGTTCTAGTGCAGACCTTGCAGGCTCTGAATTACTGGCTCCAGCTTCGATCGGTCGACCGAACACACAAACCATGACATGAGATGGGAAAGCTTTCCGATTGCGCTGGTTCTTGGACATTTCTCGGAGGTCTTCCCAACCTAAGTCATGAACTTCATGTTTACCCCGGCTAGTCACTATGGTTCTTCTATGGGACAAGTTATCCGGGTGAGTCATAAATTTTTCTCTCCCCTTACATGCCATGACTCCTTGGATTTGGTGCTCGGGACACAAGCTTTGGATTTTCTTGATGAGCTCTTGGTGCGGGCCATCCCATTGTTGCACGCCTGACTTGGGCAGGCTCTGGCGCAGGCTGTTCATGATTTCATTCCAGGTGTCATCTTCTAGTCTAGGTGGTTCTTCTTCTTGATGTTCGCGTTTCAAACCTCTTGGGACCTGAAACCGGCTTTTCTTTTTGGGTGGTCCCTCAACTTCAACTGCTGGAAACCCATCATGAACGAATGCGGCAGACGGCAAATCAAGTGGGTCTGGCATCGGGCTCATTACGGCTTTGGCTATGCTCTTGGCAAGTGCCGTGGGATAAAACGAGGCAAATTGAGATAGGGGAATGCGCTGACCCCTGAAATGACACGATCCGGCTATCTGGGCATGCTCATGATTCCTATTGCAAAAACGGCTGTCCAGTGCTTTCCAAACTTTTTCGGAAGAGGTCTGTACACGGGTGTTCTTTTTCATGAGCTCCCCAGTCTCTGGATGTTTCAGCTGGAACGCACACTGATCGAAAAATGCTGGCTTTGTGCAACGGCATATTCTTTCGAATTCCTTCTGATGCCAAATGCTGGAGGGACCTGGATTTTCAACATGACAGTGGTCTCCCTTGGAAATCTGAATCTTAAAAATCAGGTCACATAAGCGCAGGTGAGTTTGTGCTTGACTGCGGTCCTCTTGCACTCGGTTGAAGGCTGTGATTCCGCGCATTTGATTGAATCTGCTCCATGGACCCCACGGACGGCACTCTGGAGCGAGCCATATATGCTTGGGATTCAGAAGGAATATCTTTCTCAACAAAGCTACTTGCCCGGCATGAGTGGATAAATCCCCATCATCCCTTGTGAATCTGACAGCTTGACCCCCTTGTTTCCTGACTTCATCAACTAACTTACTGTTTGGTTCGGTGTACACCTCTAGCAGGTCTATCCTACGGGTGCGTCTTGGCATATGGTGAATGCAGTTCATGAGCCACTTCATTTCATCTTCATTTTCAATCAGTAGATCATCATAGACCGGCTCCTTGGGTGCTGCATTCACGCGCTGGCTCTCAGTGCTCGATGTTCCAGGGCTTCTCGAGCTTGAGCATACATGATGAAGTCCTGCATGGCGACGTTGGCCGTTGCGGATCTTGCCGAAATCCAGGCCACGTAGTTTGGGTGCTGCTCGTACACTTCTGAGAAGCGGGACCCATTGTGGGTCTTGCCCCACGAGACTCTTTTGTTGCCCCATGACTCCAAGGCCTGGGCCGTGAGGGCTATCTGGCTCTCGGGCACATCGTTCGCCCCTGTCGCTGCTGCAGTGGTTCTTTGTGGAGAGCTCTGAACAACTGTGGACTGCTTGGGCATCTTCTGGCGGTGGACCGTCGACTGGTGCAGGTTCACGTTCATGTTGGTGGTGGGCATTGGGCCCAAACTCCCCATTTCCAGTTCCTCCAGATCCCATGAAGCGTCCGACTGGTCGCCAATCTCGAAACTTCTGTTTGATCCAGCGCTCTTGACTTTTCTTGGTGAGCCTGACAACGTTTTGCCCTGCAGCATCTTTGACAGTTGCTCTATGCGTCCCTTCTGGCTCTGAACCTCGTTCAGAAGATTCGACAGCACCTGGGCATGATCCGTTGCAATCTCCTGGTCCGGTGCTCTCACCTCCAACTGGCTCATCAGTATCACCAGCAACAGGCGCAATGACTCCATGATGGCCTCTGCCGTGCTCTTGATCATGCGCATGGCTTCTCCCTGTGTTGGCATGGTGAACACAGGATGGCAGAGTCAGGCCTGGCGGTGGAAAAAAACTTGGTGCTCGATCGGCTTCGGCTGTGAAACTGTGCTGGTGACGAGGCTTGACAGGCAGGCACAATTCTGACATGCTGATGAGGTACAGGCCATTCTTACTTTCTTGTAAGTTCAGTTGACGGTCAATCCTTGTCAAATAGCAGTGATTATTGGACAAATTGATCTGTGCTCCTAGCATCTTCATGGCTTGAATGGACAGCAAAAATGGTGTGGCGGCAGGGACAACTTCAATTACTATCCATATTTTCTGGGTCGCAGTGAAAATAGGAATATGTACCTGTTTCTGGCTATATGTCACCTGATTGTTTCCAAACCTGAATCCTATGTTACTTGATTTCTCTTTGATCTGGTTTCGAACGCAGGGCGGCAGGCTTTTCAACACATGTGGCAAGACATCGTGTCCTACTACGCTTCGGCTGGCTCCAGTGTCCAAAATGGCAAGGCCAGCTTGTTTGACATTCTCCATGTCAAGGCTGCTATGGAGGCACTCCGCATCAGTGGAGGTGGGTTTCATCGGTCCGGGTGACTTCCTGTGCAACAGGCGGTGGGCAAAAAACTCTTGAACCCTTGGGATGCATTCGTGCAGGCAATAGGCATGGTGGATCGGAATGTCCACTTGGGTATGGTCTTCTCTTTCTGGCATGCTTTTTACCCCATTATCGTTATCGCCCCAGGTTATCCCCATTATTTTACGGTCCCCACTTTTATCCCAGTCCTCCCAGTGAGTGGCAAAGCTCTGAATCTCCTCGTCATCTTCCGTGATCGATTCAAAGATCACCTGGGCATCCTGGTCATTGTTGGGCAGGGTGAACCGGTGTTCCTGGTGCATCGCAAGATTCACATTGTCCTGCGTGTTGTTGGTGCCTTTGTGCGGGCACTCAGCTTTCCAATGCCCTTTTTCTCCACAAGCACGGCAATTCGTGCGGGCGATGCGGGCTAACAGCCCTCCTTTTCCAGATCCCTTCTTGAACCCTTTGCTGAAACCACCCTTGTTTTTGCCCTTGTAGGGCGGCCAGAATCCCCTCGACTTCTTCTTCTCCAAGATCTTTGTTCGGGCCTCGTGATAAGACACCAAGGCGTGCTGAAGATCTGGCACTTCTTGGAACAACTCTTCCAAGTCTTTCTCGAAGCTCACCATGTTGAGAGCGTCGGAGTCCCCATTTTGGGCCATCTGTTCCAGGGTCTCGGCATCGATCTCATCTTCCTCATAGACGACGTGGTATGTGGTGGCCATATTTGCATCTTGTTCAACTTCAGGTTCCACATAGTTGGTTGGGTAGACCCGTTTTTTGGGCTCAGCTCCGGACGACAAGACACTGGTTGCCAACGTCCTCATTGCTTGTTCAACCTTGGAGACTTTCATATCTCCCGCAGTCATCGTCAGGACACGCTTGCGGTCCTCCACTCCGAGTGCACTTTGTCTGAGGTGCAAGAAGGCATGGAACTGTTTGACATCCACGACTCCCAACTCGTCCATTGCCACCTGAAGTCGGTTGACGAAGCTGGTGGTTGATTCATCGGCCTTCTGGTTGGTCTTGTACAGGGCTTTCTCAAACAACTCGTACGTTTTCATCTCGGCTGATTCTTCCCAGCTTGACAAGGCTTTGAGCAAGTTCTTTACTCCTTCAGTTTTGTTGGTGAGAGACTCAGCATCTAATGCCTTCACCTGTCCCCACGCTGTACCCTTGCACAACATCGCCAGCCGTGGTGCCAGCATAGCTTTGTCACGATCTGGGCAAACCCCCTCGATGAATCTCACCTTCTCCACATACTCCCGCGCGTTGTCAACTGCAGGATCGAAACTCGGCAGAAGGGACCAAATTGAATTGCCCTTCTCTTCAGAGCTGCTCGCCATTGCGGATCAACAGGCTTTACACGGTACCCCGTGAGCCCCCAGGGCTCCGCTACCAATGTAGCTCGGGGAGGAGTCTACAAAGGTAGGGACCCAGCTTCCCCTAGTCCTTCGGGGTTTCCAACAAAAGGGGTAACCACACCCCAAAAGGCTCAGCCGGCACCCTGTGCCTATGGATGAACGTCCAACGTTACACTTCTCGAATTTGTGCAGCGTCCGCGCTGCTTGTTTTCCACACCTTGCGGAACTTGAGCCATTGGCCCGGTCGAACAGCGAGGTCTCCATGCTGGTACACCTGCAAGGCACATCCAAGGCATATATTGGCTTTTCACATATATACGTATATATATATATTATGTATATCTTCTGCATGTACATATTATACATGCATATATAAATTTATACATATGCTGACTAGGCAGCTGAAAGAACTCCTATTCTCTTGGCGTTTCTTATTGCTGGATTCCCGGCGACAGACGCAGACGCCAGGAGCACGCCTATGTGACCTACCAAGTCTTTGCTGCAGAAAATGCTGAAGTCTTACGTCAGGCGTGGGAATTCGCTCATTTTTGAGTTCAACAAAGATGTGTTTTGGGTACCCGGCCTGGTAAACGAACTAACATAACGAACTGGAAAGATCCACCCATTTTTAATGGGAAAATCCACGAACTTTCTAGTCATTTTCAATAGCTATTTTGACATAACCAGAGGGTATACCCAGTTTCCGACCCAAACATATCTGGGGTGTTGGGAGCAAGCCTGATCTCGGGCGGAATTCATGAGGCAAACAACCAGTGGAATGGGACCTTCCCATCAATTTTCAGACACACAAAGTCACACAAAGCACGAGCACCTCATGGAATTGTGTTCTGGTTGGTGGTTTGGAACATTTGGATTATTTTTCCATATAATTATTGGGAATAATCAATCATCCCAACTGACGAACTCATATTTTTCAGAGGGGTAGGTTGAAACCACCAACCAGTGTTGCTAAATGTTGGTTAATGTTGCGGTATAGGATGCTATGGGTCCAATACCTTAAGGATATCCTTGGCCGACATTTTGATCATTTATTGGGCCTCCTTTTTTTCGGAGAGTTGGTGGAGAAAGTCCGAGGGATCCACTCAGATGCGCTTGGTCAGCGTGTTTGTTGTTGGTCACCAGTTCGAATTTATAGTTTAATGATGTTTAATGATGCTTAGATGCGGAAAATAATGTGGTAAAACCAAGGATAAACCTAGAATTTAAGGGATGGTTTATGGAAGCGATTTATGGTGATTTTGGAGATGGATCATTATTGGATTTGCCACATGGAAATTTCATCAGCTTCTCAGGTCTTGGGCCTCTCACCCCACCAGGTTCCTCCTCCGCCGATCGCGGTGAAGTATTACGTGGAGGGGGATTTGTACAACTTTGCGGCTTGGACGAATCAGAGGCCTATCGGGGGAATGCTAAAGTATGTTTATTTCCGATAGAGACCACCGAAAAAATGGAGGTTTCCAAAAAAATTTGGGTACCCCCAGTCATCATCAATTTTTAATGGGTTTTTCCGTGAAATAAACCATCCATTTGATCATTTTGGGATACCCCTATTTTCAGGAAACCTCCCAGCTGGATCCAAATAGTTCAACCGTGACTCGGTTTGGTCCATTCTTTGCCAGCGATTTTGACCAATCTTTCTGCCTCGAAAATCGATTCCAGCTGCATCAATCAAGGTTTGTTTAGTTTAGGAACCAGGCTCTCCTGTCACTCTTGATCTCAGACTTTCAGGAGTTTGATCCTTTTACAACATAACGACTGACACGACTGACACGACGAGACAAAAAAACGTTCCCTACCTGTTTACTGACCTTGGCTAGGCTGACATATGCAATAAGATGTAGGCTGACATGTGTTCTAACATATGGATATAATTGGATATATATATATGGTTTGATGTCAGTTTTACTGATGTATAATCTCTCGCCTTTTTCTCTTATAGTCATACGCAACCCCCCAAAAAAGGGGGATTCCTGTTTGGACTGGTCATATCACTACCAAGTGGGGCACCCTGGTTATAGCTGTGTCTAGAAAAGCTCAGCTATAAACTTTAAACCAACTAACAAACCTATCTAGGAATCGAGGGGGTTCTGCCTGAAAACTCTGTACCAGGGTTAGAAATTCATCTCTCCATTACCCATCTCCAAGGACAAATTCCAGACACGCCACCGGGAGGAGTGGATAGCAGCCGGTTCCACTTTAGCAGACTTGGAAAAACGTCAGTAAACGACGTGAACAAAAACATTGAACGCCACTAGATCAATCTAGATCATACAAAGTGGGGGCCCCGAAACGATAGCAAAGTTGGTGAACAAAACTCAATAGGTATGGTTTATGATACTTACTGTACAACTATAGTTAATGGGGTTTATAAACCAACTTATAGCTGGGGGGTCCAGCCATGGAAAATGGCCACGGTAATAGGTACATCACCTGTAAATGGGTTATTTTTCCTAGCTATGTTAAACTACCTGATGGTAAATTATAATTGGCAATCGAAAAGCACTGGAGAGTCGAATGAGGATAATAAACCTTGGATATCAAACCTTTTTTGGGGGTTATGGGTATGAAGATTGGGGCTAGAACCAGTTGGACATGAAATTGAGTGAGGGAACATCGTAGCTTTTTAGCTAGTCTGGCAAAATCTTGGGGATATGAGAATAATGGTACACTTTCTACATTGTACATATGTTTCATATTTCTTCCCCAGCTTTGTATGGGACGCATGGCAATGCCCACAAGACAAGACCCGCCAAAATAGTGATAAGTTACTATTTGACTTGATATACCTCCATTAACAAACTGGTGGGCTAGTGACTCTTAAGTCAATAACATCCATTAACATTATGGAATACCCTGTCGTAATTATATTGTTTGCTGTGGTTTAGATGGCCAAGTGACTTCACTGATGTACCTAGCTATTAAATACTATTTAAATTGTGATTTTCTGTAGCAGACTGTGAACAATTCGGGAGTAAGATGAGTGAGCCACAGGAAGAGGAACCCCAGATATGTCACTGTTGGTTAACTAGTTACCCTCACTAACTAGTTCGATCTATCCACCACGAACCAAAAATATAGTGATGTTAGAAAAGACTAGAGGGAAACAGAGATACGGAGAATCCGCCATTTACAGATCATGTTTCATAAATCTCATCATAGTTACCCTCAGCTAATTTCATATAGCTATGCTATTAATAGCCTGTTAATAGACTATTTGCATATCATTTCCATGTCCATTTTCCATGGCTATGTTACCCAGAGAGTTATTTTGAAATCCAGAAAAAGAAACACAACTGCCCTCAAGCCAGCGGTCGAGATCAGTGAGAAATGGGGATCTCTTCGCTGTGCCAGGAACCTCGACGACCACCTTGCGACAACTTACTGGATGCCATTTGGTCAAAAGAAATCACCCGCAAACAATTGTGATGAATGGACATAACCGTCATAAATGGAGGTAAGGCTCAAGGAATCAACATGTTGATGAACAAGAATTGTTCACCATCTGGAATCCGGATAGATACTTTATCTATTCATTTATATCATTTGCTGTGAATTGGAATATATACATATATATAAATTATATAAATATATCTGGGTAAATTATAACGACCTCACTGCGACCACACTGGAAATCATGGTTAATAAGGGAAATCATCCCCAAATGGCCGAACTATTCAGGTTAGTGAATTATAATTAATTTACCCAGATATATACATACGATACAAACCAGCTGAACGCTTGTTTTTCAGGGTATCCAATATTGGCCTTGTATACTGTATGTAGTGGTCACAACAGTCAATAGATATCCTCATATCGTCATTCTGGAGTAGCGAATATGAAGCTCGACCAATGGCTGTACGGGACAATCACCTGAGAGATTAAGATATCTATTTCAGGATGATTACTATCTGGTAATTTGACATAACTGTGAGTGAAATTTCACCATTTTGACTAGGTAAATCATGGTAAATCATCTATAAGTGGTATCAAGTTTACCATAGCTGTGTTGGTCTACCAGAGGGATCCACGTCGATCATGTCATGTCAGGAACACTACCGCCCTCTTCCCAACAAGATGTTGAAGCTGCAGTGTTCAACATGCCAGTGCTTGGTGGTTTCATCTGTTACTTACTCTAGCTGTGAAATTCTCATATTGGATTGTTTAGGCATAGGCGAGTATGGTATTTTTTTTTTAAGATTGGAGTTGTTTGGCCTCTGGGTAGGGGACAAATTTATGCATTCCGGGCGCCCGGGTTGTGATATGTAAACGTCTCGCGTTTCGCAACGCAGAGCCCGTGCCATCCCGGAGGTGGCCGTGAGACTCACTGTTGGGTTTTTTTGCTACTTTTTTAGGGATGCCCATGATGCCATTTTAGCATATTTTTAGCTTGGAAACTCATCCCCAGTTTTGAATGACAATCGAAGGGTAAGTCATGATAATCCCATCCCCGATCACAAAAAAAATATAAAAATATATATTTTTCAGAAACCGCGGTGGAATTGGAAAACATCTTTGGGACCATAGATGATGTGGGTCTGAAAAAAATTACGGGGATGGGAGGAAACATCTACCATTTCTGACTCCGCACATCACAAGGTCTTCGAAAACATCCGTGACGACGAGTATGAGCATATTGTCACGATGAAGGCGGGATTTTTTCGCTTGGATCTGCAATTTGGAACATTGACTGTACTTCACTGGGTAAGCCTGGTCGTGAATGGTGTGTTGTTCAGTTTTTGAGCCATTTTTATTAGGGGAAGACAACATCTTTAATTATGTATATATGGTGTTCAGTCAGTCTCTCAGACTACGTATGTTGCATGGTCATTCAACTTGGTGTTTGGATACCGGCTGCAAATCGAATCTAGCAATGCAACATCCTCATTTGCATTCATTTACATCAATTCATACAGAACAATTTTCCATGAACTTATATTCAGAATTTGCATTTATCACCATGGTTGATTACATGAAGGTTTTGCAACTCTGTGGCTAGTGCGAAAGATGAGCAGCCTGATTCATTGCAAATTTTGGCCAGGTTCGGACCTACATGACTAGCCCAGCCCGTTCCGGCTATGTGTCGATCAAACTCGCATGATGAATTTGCATATCTTGATGTACAGAATCTGTATGGAATACGTTTGAGGTATCTCCATATGCCGGGCTCAGCCCACAAGAGCTACTCTTCAACATCCCATTCCATGCCGCTGCCAGCTGCCCCAGTTTTGTCCTCATGTCAGCGTCAAACATTCCGCTGCTTCAAAAAAGGTGCATGTGGAGTCAACATTTTATTGCTCAAACATGCTCAAAATAGGTCCCCATCTTCCCTTCGCTGGTGACTCCAACTACAGTTTTTTCCCCCTCTGAAATTGGAAGATGGTCCCAAATTGACCAGCGACCACTGGGATCCACTGGGTCATGTGTTTCATAGAACAGGGGATCCCCAAAACCATGGGTTTCAATATTCTTTGTTTTCGGACAAGAGTTCAAGGGAGTTTCCATAGTCATGGGGGTACCCCATAGCTGGATGGTTTATAGAGAAATACCTTAAAAATGGATGATGACTGGGGGTACCCCTATTTCAGGAAAACCCACCCGGTTTAGGACACCTTCATGTCTTCATTTTTTTCAGCCATCCCCTGGGCACACCCACAGGGCATGTGCGGCATGCTCAGGCGTGCCAAGAATGGTGGGCCGGACGTGGACCTTCTCCCATCCCAGCCAGGACTGTGTCACCCCCGTGGCTGTTGAATTGGGGTGGTACATGGTATATAGGTAAGTATATGGTAAGTATCAGATTTATGACGGGGGAGTAGTGGAAAATTATGGAAAATTCATCAACCGGTACCATAAATAAGTATCAGATTATGACTATTGGGGGAGTACTCCCAATAAACCATGGTTGATTGTTCCAGGGTTGACATTCTTCAACGGAATTTGGCCGTGACATCGGCAAGTTCATTTCGATTCCACGCCGATCGCCCATGGCCATGACCCCTTATAAATCCAAAAAATCACCCCGATCGCCCAGAAATGTGGGACCCCAAATTGAACAGATCTACTAAAATCACCTCTGAAAACGGACAACTTTACAATTCCATGGTTGAAAACTGGTTTTTCACATTGAAATTCCTAGTTCATGGGTAAATCCACCGATTTTCGGTACTGATAGAATCACTTGAGAATCTCCCACGTTTGATGGTGTTTTTTTCGGGAACACTTGCAAACAAATTATAGGACATCTTTATCCCAATTCATTCGATTGGCATCTGGTTCCAATGGTTTCATCATCCAATTCGTGATTTTTTTGAGGGAAACCCATAGTTTTAAGGGATGTTTTGGGTCCCTTCAAGGGGAGAGACTCCCTTGAAATACGGACACGCAAATCTGGGGCTGTCGCAGGACACGCAACTTGACCAAAGATAGAGAGGTCGGAGGGGGACCTGGGACCATGTTTTCTCAGTGAACTTTGCGTTGTTGAATGTTTTCACTGAGAACATTGGGAACATCTGGGATAATCATGGATTTTTTAAGGATATTGGGTTTAATTGAAAAATCCAACTGAACATGGTTTGAAGAATGTTGGGAAAGTCATTGAACTACATGATCTAAATGGGGATATACATATAATATACATATATTATTATTATTATATATCATATTGGGTTCAATGGGATAATATCGGGATATCTTGGCTTTCTGGGGTGTTTCAATATGCTTTCTATGTCCGCTATGTCTCGGGTGCTGGAACAACCACTGCCGCAGCCGGTGTCACAATGGGAGAGGCGTGGAAGCGATGGGCTGATGACATGAATCGTTTGAGCGAATGAGCGCTGAGTGCAGTTCGATTACCCTCTGGTGAACTAACATAGCTATTGAAAATGGCCATTTATAGTGAGTTTTCCCATTAAAAATGGTGATTTTCCATAGTTATGTTAGTTTACCAGAGGGTACCCTCTGGTGAACATATACAAAAACTATGGAAAGATCCACCCATTTTTAATGGCTAAATCAACTATTTCTATGGGCCATTTTCAAGTTCGCAAACTGTTAAATTACCAGAGGGTAAGTTCCAAGTTTCATGGAGGTAAGCTCCCATGGGGGTTTTTGAAGCTGACCATTCTGCCTATTTTTTGAGATATCTGGGATGATAACCACCAACACGAAGTAATTTGGTAGAATGCGATACCTTAGTGGTAAATTACTTGAAATACTTAAGAATAATCTTGAATGTCTTGGGGCTTGCTGCAACCCCTCGCAAAACAGGCGTTACCGGGGCCTTGTTCAGGGCTACTGAAACTCGCAGGTTACCCTCTCAGGTGCGACATTTTCATGTTCCAAAAGGATGCTGGTCGCCCAACCAACCAGGAATGGAGGTGTCAAAAAAAAATGTGAAGTGTTTTGAATGTTTTGAAGTGTCAAGAAAGAATCGAACACATGTGACAAACTCTGGGATAAGAACCGTGTTTTGAATGTTCTGAATGGTGTTTGTTGCCAAATATGTTGCTGAAAAAACATGTGGCACCGTGTCTCGGAATGATTCGGATGCCAAGAATGATCTTGAATGATCTTGAATTCTCTGTCCAATCAGTAGCTCCCTGAAGGCAGAATTGTTTCTGATTCTTGCTTTTTTTCAGGCTAACCATCCGGTACTCGAACATGGCAATGGGAAACCTCCATTTATTATTTATAGTTGATTTTCCCATTAAAACATGCATTTATTGTTTGAGGACATTTCCCAGCCAGTCATGTTTGTATATGTTTGTCATGTTTGAGAACACCGTTACGGGAATTTCAACATCCGCTCAGTGATGAACTTGATATTGATGAAATGGGGCCATGGGGTCAGACCTTGTTGGAAAGCACCGTTGGCAAAGATCAACTTTCCAATCACAATCTAACCTCTTCATGTTTTCAGATCATGTTGTGCAGGCAAACAGCCTAAGCAGCCCTTCCGTTCTTTTCCTGGGTCCTGGGCAATCAAGGCATGCTTGTCCATTCCAAAGTCGAATGAACTTTTTAATCTCTGGTCAGTCGAAGAGTCTCCGCGGATGCGTTTGGGACGACTGGATTCGAAATCAGATGCCGGCACTCGCAAAGCAGACTGGAAGCAGGCTGGCTTACCCATTCGTATTTTGGGCTACAAACCAAGAAATGGAGAAATACATAGAAATACCATGAAATACCAGCACCGATGGGTTGAACATCCAATACTGCAATACAATCCAGCCAAAGGATGGGTTCACATCTAACGGGATTCCAGAATTGGGATGATACCTGAGCGCAAGCAGCATCAGACCTGGGTGAAAAATTGCCCAAATGCATTCCAAAATCATCAGTTATGAAATCTGCGTTAGCTTGGCATGAATCTTGATATATATATAATATATATATATGTATATATATATATGTATATATGTAATTATGTATATATATATATATACACTATATATATATATATATACAATGTATATATATATATATGCATATGCAAATCAAGGTGGAGCTGGCGCAACATGTTTTGACCATCCAGCCATGTGGGCATCCTGAATCCAGTCACCAATGGATGAATGCGGGAGTTTTGGCAGATGGATTCCAAAAGTGCTGTGGGATGTTACCCTCTGGTAAACTAACATAGCTACAAAGTGGGGCCCCCTAGATAGCTAAGTTGGTTTATAACTCCAATTTCACTATGGTTTATGGTACTTATAACTATAGTTACTGGGGTTTATAAACCAATTTATAACTGGGGGGGCCCACATTGTATGGAAAATGGACCATTTAGTTCGATGATTTCAATGATTTCCATTTTCCATAGCCCATTTAGTTCGATGATTTACCGCGTTCACATATGCCAAAAATGGTTGTTTTCGATAGCAAACTGTTAAATTGCCAGAGGGTAACCAAAACTAAGATGGTATGTTTCTTTCTCCCAGCCACGGGGAAGATGCTTCCAATTCTACTACAGTACATGCTACTAGTATTTGTAAGCTGGGTCAGGTTGCGCCCAGGTTTGCGGATACTTTGGTCGCTTCAAAAAATGGTTTGTAGATGTTTGTAGTACAAGTTATTCAGGCTGTGGTGGGATGACTGTCCCATATAGAGGGCGTTTAGTTTTATGGCACATAGGTTTGTTTTGAATCTTGAATCTTGAGAGATACTGTGGATGGGAAACAAAAACCTGCACCAGTTTTTATCGGTGGTTTATCTTGATAGGTGGTAAACATCCCATTATATACTAATTATTTTAACCGGGGTTCATGGTCACCAATACTTACCAGCTGGTGTTGTCATATTTTGTCCATCCACAGGATCAATGCACTTAAAGTTGTCGTTGAGGGCGTTTTCTGCTTGAGAAAACGATATCCAGCAGCGCTCAGTCTTCAAAAAAAACATCATCTGGTTGGTGGCTTGGAACATTTTTTTATTGTCCATAATATATGGGATAATCCTTCCCATTGACTTTCATATTTTTCAGAGGGGTAGGTATACCACCAACCAGTCATTATACACTGCTTATTCGAAGAGTTTCTCACACGACTTACAATGCCATGACCGTAATTTCGAAACGTCAGGTGGATCATTGCAGTGAGGTAACCTTTGGTAAACAGTGCTGCAAATCAGCAGGGTAACTGAGAAATTTTCCATTGCTACCTTTTGGCACCCTTGGGTATTTCCAGATGGCGGCTTCCTGAAAATACACATGGTGAATTTATCATCGCCACCGTCGATTTCCTACATTTTTTGAATGAGAAACCGTACAAGACTATTTTTTGGATTGTTAATGTTACATGCTTTCAGAGATTATACTATGGAAATCTAATCTGGCAATTCATGGTTTTACTTTGGTTCAATTCCAGCTATTGAATATCATCTCCAAATTTATGTTGAGACGTGAATCTCTAAAACCAGATTAGACTCATGCTATAATGGTTGAACCGTTAAAGTACTAAAATTCATGGTTTCACTTATGTTGGAAGGGCCAACATCAGCGAAGCCGTGGATCGCATGTTTCGCCGGTTTCGGCTCAGTATACGCTCGGTGTTCGCCACACCCCCCTGGGTCGTTTTGTGCGCCGGGGGGGCGCCGACGAGGGGGATGGATACCTATTCAGCAAGGCGTACCGGGTCTCGATGGGGATGGATGTAAAATGCTTACTGATGCTTGCAATGTGGGGCCCCCCAGTGATGTTTGTTGGTTTAGATTCGCCCCAGTAACTATAGTTATAAGTACCATAAACCATAGTGAAATTGGAGTTATAAACCAACTTAGCTATCTAGGGGGCCCCACTTTGTAGTGTATTATGATGCATTATGTAGATTACACAAGGTAAGGCCCCCTAAATAGCGAAATTGACACATATAACTAGGCTAAGTATGGTTTATGGGGGATATGACCATAGTTAAGGGGGTTTATAGACCATTATAACCCCAGTTATAACTGGGGGGCATCACCTTGTATAGTTCATATAGCCTTTTTTTATGGGCCTCACCAACGCTATGATCCTCCAACTGTGGATGGTTTATACAACTCATTTTTTGGTAAGTCATTGTGGATGTCTTGCTGACGTCCCGACGTCCCGAAATGACTGTTTGTTATACCAAGACTCGCAAGATTTCTGTGTCCACTGGGCCAACTTTTCAGGAATACTGTACAATGTGGGGCCCCCCAGTGATGTTTGTTGGTTTAGATTCGCCCCAGTAACTATAGTTATTTGCGTACCATAAACCATAGTGAAATTGGAGTTATGTTCACCAACTTAGCTATCGTTTGGGGGCCCCACTTTGTAGCTTTTCTAAGCAGCCGCAATGATTCAAACATTGCCATTTCTCGCTTTTTCAGGTCGTCTGTGACGAGTTTTTGTGTAAACCTGTTGTCCGGGCAATGGTGGCCCGCCAATAAACACATTCAGATCCATGTAGATTCGAACATAAGTGCAGTACAGACAACCTGTTTTCTCCGGTTGGCTGACTGCCCCGGTTGTACCTGATGCTGCACTAAATAAACTGTTTTTTTTGTTCCGAGAACTCGCGTATTGCGTATTCATGAAACGTTAAATGTGCCCAGTGAAATCTGCAGTGGGCAATTTCTACAAAATCTGCAGTGGTATGATTTCAAGTCGTCGCATCACTTGAAACCTGAACTCCGAAAAAGCCTCATCTGGTTGGTGGTTTCAAACATTTTTTATTTTCCATAATATATGGGATAATCCTTCCCATTGACTAATATTTTTCAAGATGGTTCAAACCACCAACCAGTCACAATTAGATCAACTGGCGCTGATGAATGGGACGAATTCTGCCCCCTACTGATGAACGAGTGGGATAATGGAACTGTTGCATATTATTACTCCGTTTCTATGGGCCATAAGTTCAGGGCAAGAATTTCATCAGGAATCCGACTTAGACTTTTGACAGACAATGCCTACCACAGAGTTTGGAGATTTACTGTATCAGTGTATCAGTCAAACCCATGTGGGTTATTTATGGTTGTCTGTCAACTAGTTTTACGATTCCTGCAACAATCTTGATTCTACATGGGTTCACCACGTTTTGGGGGCCCCATGGGGAACAACAAAACTATACACCAATTGGTTTGTTTATAAACCATGTGTTCTTGCAAAGCCCCCTTTAGTTAAGATAGCCCCATGCTTGATGTGATTTAAAGCATTCGAGTTTGTAGTCAGAACTTAGCATCAGCACACCAAGCTGTAGCACTGTGTATATATATATGATTATATATGTATATATATATAATTATAATATACTGTAATAAGATACATCTTACATCCAATTTATTTCATCTTAAATCCCTTATTTCGTTGGTTCATTGCTCACTTTGCTCACTTTTTGACCAACGCTTGTGCCCGTGTTCGGCCTCAGGGCGAACACGATCTTCTGCACCTTTTGCACGGTGCTGGGCACCACGGCAGTCTTGAGCCATCTGTCGTGGGGACCCCGGAAACGGAAGTTCCTGGTTGGAGCTGGGGGTTGGGGAGTTGGAGCCGGAAACGGAACGGGTACATTGGGTATCCCCAAATGGCTGGTCTTTTTAGCTTAGTGATTTGTTTTCTTTATCGATCTATATGGACTATCTTGATTTAGTTGGTTGATGTCTTAGTCATTGATTGATCTTTAGCCAAATTATGAGAATGATGATGATTATTATTACTATTGTTATCATTATTATTATTATTATATATTATTATTATTATGATGCTGATTATTACTATTATTATATTATTATATTATCATTATTAATCAGTGGATGATTGAGGAGTGGATGGAGGGGACTGTTTTTGGGCATCCTATTTTCAGATAACCCTACTTGGAAGTGAATCCCAGGCGTCTCGTAAGTTCGTTTATGTGGTTTAGAAGCCATGTATGACTGGGGATCGATGGGGACATGATGGAAGATATCATACCCTCTGGTAAACATACAAAAAACTATGGAAAATGGCCATATATAGTTGATTTACCCATTAAAAATGGTGAATATATATATATATATACATCATATATATTAGGTTTGGAACATGAATTTTATTTTTCCATCATATATGGGATAATCATCCCAACTGACTTTCATATTTTTCAAGATGGTTAAAACCACCAACCAGTATATATATATAGATAATACTTCACCATTTGGGGAATCTACTGGGAATACTTTCTACTCACCCCTTGGGCAATTGATACAGAGCAATGAACAAAACGCCGATCTCTGACCCAGCCTGGGCATCATGAAAGTAGCCAAGTCTCAGGCTTGATTCCTTGACATTGGCCAGGGCTTTCCACTTGTCTAACACGCGAAATGGGAGAGATGTGCAGCGCCACATCCCTCATCCCAAATGATCTGTTGAGTTTCAAATGGAAAGATGTTCACCATGTTCCAGTAAGCCAGTAAGCCAGTAAAATTGTAGAGATGAAAGTCCTAGTCCAATATTTTTTCATCACATCTATTTTACATAACACACATCTATTTTATGATATAACACACATAAATTGTACTATAAATATATAATATATAATATAACATATCTATTTCACGGAGCAAACTCAATCACAGCCCGGATCCCGATCGATCCCGATCGATCCCGGCTCACCAGCTGTTGTTTTTCGAAAATAAACAGTGATTCATGCAGTCCATGCAGGGTATGTAGTGCAGAAATCTGGTTGGTGGTTTGGAACATGTTTTTTCCCATTCAGTTGGGAATTTCATCATCCCAACTGACTTTCATATTTTTCAGAGGGATTTTTCAGAGGGGTTGAAACCACCAACCAGTTATTCTCTCGCTGTCTTGAGGCAAATTGAGCAATGCCAAAAATCAGTGGTGGTTGTTCTAGCTGGTTTGACGGAGAGAAGCCTGTCATCAACTGGTTATACTGACTGGATCTAAGCGGTTATACTACCTGGACCGAACTAAGGGAATTGATGGCTCCATAAACTTTCTTCAACCCTATCCCAACCAGCAGGTAGAAGGGGAGGACAGGTTCGTTTTTTCCCGGCACAAATTTTCTGACTCTGAGGACCTTTTTGCCCATGGATCAGTTTGATGTGCGCACCTCTGGAAATGTGCAGCTCAATATGGTCCGCCGGGGCACGGGGGATGGAATATGATGGGACGGTGCCGGCCAAGATGTCCCTAACCAGGGATGGCAAGTTTAGATTTGAAAAGAGATTTCGCCTGATATTTTTTGGCGTTGGTTTTGTTTGCAACTCACAGATGGAGACATACAAGACTCGTACAAGACTTCATGAATAATGTGGGTAAAACAATGCTATAAACCACCCATTTGGGAATGGTTTATAGCACCTATAAAAATGTGCATTTGGGGGATGGTTTGTTATTGTTTTAACCACATTATTATTTTTTTTTCCAAAGTCATTTGTTGTTGTGTTCGGGGCATGCCATGTGGCGCCCTTTTTCGGGCGTACCCTGCACCGGCCCTTGACAAAGGGCCCTCACAACAGGATCAGGACCTTTGGCGCGGTCCGTGAGCATGCCAATACACTGCAAATAACATCAAATTGCTTAGCATGATCAATTACAAAAAGCATACTGATGTAATATGAATTAATATGATATAATCACATATAATTATTGTATGTCTATCATTATACCCTCTGGTAAACGTTTACATAACTATGGAAAATCACTTAATTTTCATAGGTAAATCAACTATTTCTTTGGGCCATGGCTTCTATAGCAAACTGTTAGTCATAACCAGTAGTCATAACCAGAGGGTAATTTATCTTCCATTACAAGTTGGTTTATAAAGCCCATGAACATATCCATTAACTAGTTCGTTATATCTACCATAAACCATAGTTAAGCCACTTATAAGGCAACTGAACGCTATCTTGGGGTCCCCATCCTGTATGATTGGGTATTATTTCCCAATAATTTTAAAGGATTAACCATAGTAATATAGTATTAGTGGTATCAATCCCATTAATCATCATTAATTATCATTAATCACCATTATATAATTACAATTATATAGTTAATGAACCATTATGAACACATCTGGTTGGTGGTTTGGAACCATGGAATTTTATGACTTTCCATTCAGTTGGGAACATCATCATCCCAACTGACGATTCGTCCTATTTTTCAGAGGGGTAGGTCAACCACCAACCAGATTAATATTTATATATATAGGTTAGTCAGTAACTATATCATATCCCATTCATATACCATTAATATCCATTATGAACACATGTGGATGTGGGTCAAAATGGAAGACCATTAATGGGACCACTTTTTTGTGAATGTCTAGTTTAGTATTAACATGTATTAACCATCCATAATTTTAAGGGGTACCTAATGACTTGACCCATACCCAATGGTCATTGTGGCTGTAATTTTCACCACAGCGTCATTGTGACTTCCCCCCATCTGAATCCCCTAAGTTGGTGTTTCCGGGACATGGCTTCACCGATTTCCTTTAAAAAAAATGTGAAAGAGTATTGGAAGGTCTTGAAAGTTGACTCAAAAACATGTTTTTTTTTTTTTTAAGGTCTTGAAAGTAGGCACTTTTTTATGACTTTTTGATTCATCAATATTTAAAAGCGTTTGCTTTTCGAATGGTCGGTCAAGAATTGTGGTACGCACCACTTTACTCCATAGATTTCCACCAGGTGAATCATAGCCAGTTGTTAAGAATCAACTCCATTGAGTTCGAGATGTCTACCATGTTTCCATGGTAAACATCATGGTCAACATCATGGTAAACATCCATTAAATGGTCCATTTATGTCATGTCGTGTCCCGGGCTGTTTTCCGGATCATCAACTTTTTTTACGGTCAGTTTCACCATGGTGAAACCACCGCTCAAACGGCGTGGCGTCTTTACTGTGGCTCCACGGAGAACTCTGCGAGGTGCACGACCTGATTCCGAACTCGCACCTCAATAGCGATCAGAGCCCGAAAGCTCAGCCGAGTCAAAATGGGGATATGATGATTACTGGTGATTAATGGTGATTAATGGTGATTAATGGTGATTAATGATGATTTACTGGTGATTACTAGTGATTAATCAATGGTGACTACTGGTGAGGAGGTGATTAATGGTGATTAGTTGTGATTAATGATAGTTAATGGGATTCACCCTCTGGTAATTTGTTACAGTTTGCGAACTGGAAAATGGCCATAGAAATAGTTGATTTACCCATTAAACATGGTGATTTTTCCATAGTTATGTCAGTGTCAACTTGGAATTCATAAACTTTGGCTGGTTGGTGGTTTGGAAACATGAATTTTATGACTTTCCACATCTTGGGAAGTTCACAATCCCAACTGACATCTGACGAAGTCATATTTTTCAGTGGGGTTGAAACCACCAACCAGTCATGTTTTCTTACCAAGTTGGGAGATGATGATTTCATGATTATGTTTTTTTGGGCTATGTCGATTCATTGATTCTTATTTTTTTTAATGATTCAAATCGGGGATATTGATGTGACTTCCGCCATGGAGATATGTTCCAAAATTGGAGCCTTCGCTTCGCCGAGGTTTTCTCTCCTTCCACCTGAACCACAATCTTTCGCAGGAGTTTCACTGGCGCCTCATCGGCAAACATAGCTGCGGAACATGGCCTATTGAATGGTTCGATGATTTACCCAAATATATGTAAATATTACAAAGTGGTGGTTTTCTCCATAGCTATGATAAACTATGTGTGGATTTTTGTGACAAGCAATTGATAACCCAATTGATATCAAAAAAATGGTGATCGGAACATGTTGTTTGTCAATCTCAATTGGGTTCAGATCAAATGGTCCGTTTTGGGATTGTAGCTACTTATCGACACTTTAATTTTGATTTTGACAATTCACCGTGAATACACATGTCCTACACAAGTTTATATAGACAGTTTAACTCTCAGCAGAAGATCAGAAAACCACTCAGATAACCGGCTTTTGGTTTTGAGTTATGATGTTGTTTCGATATGTTATTTGATGGGATATAAAGGACAAAACTTGAAAACTTCCTACAACTCCAGGTTGCGACAATGCCACACCGTTGAGCTTTGATGGGTGGGTTTACCACATTGACACACTACAAGGTGACTCTTCTTGGCTTTCATGATGTTTATGCCTTTCTTTGCCTTCTTTTACGCAGGAAGAGTGATCTTTGACGATTACCCTCTGGTTATTTAACATAGCTATTGAAAATGGCCCATTTATAGTGGATTTTCCCATTAAAAATGGTGATTTTCCATAGCTATGTTAGTTTACCAGAGGGTATTTTTTCCTCTTGGGCGTTCGTGTGGTTTGGATGGTCTGGAAGATCCGGAAGCCAACAAAAAACACGTCCAGCATGATACTGTCCAGTATGCCAATGAGTCCAAAGCACCAAATGGGTCTGAAAATGGGGTATACTCCCAATGAAATAGCCATTTAGTATGGATAATGATCAGCAAAACCATTGGGTGTAGGGATACACTATTTTCAGACAAAGCCAAACTACAGCACCAGTAAACCATTTGTTACGCATCTCACATGGGGCTAGCCATGACTAGGCTTATTTTTCTGCTTCTGAAAAAAGAAAGGCCTGTGATCCAAACATCTGAGTCACAGCGATGACAAGGTCTGATCTTATTGAAACCCTCCATCGATAGCCACTTGGATATGAGTTGTAATATGACGGGATATGTCAGGCATCCACAATACAGAACCAACAGAAAATGCTGTGAGGATAGCTTAAATGGAGAAGCTGGAAAATCCATCTTGTAGCCAAACGCTCCAGCAGCAACTATCCTACTGGTTGCATTTTTTTTGCAGATTTTTTCCCTGGTTTCTTACTTTTGGACAAGTTTCCCGAAGCCATCCCTTTCCATCCGGTCGAGGAATATGAACCAGTTGTTTCTGTACTTAGTGGTCACCTACAATGACACTGCGTCCAACATGAGGAACGAGGCGCCAGGATGCCAGGATGCCAGTAGCTGGGGGAGAAAAATGGAGAAAACATCTGAGCGTGAGTCACCCGAAAAAGGTCAGTGTGAACAGTGTCAACTTTGAATTCATAAACTTTCTGGTTGGTGGTGACTGGAACCATGGAATTTTTCATGACTTTCCATTCAGTTGGGAAGTTCCATCCATCCCAATTGGCGAACTCCATCATTTTTCACAGGGATAGGTATACCACCAACCAGCTTTGGCTCTTTGATTTTTAGGGGTACAAGATTAACATGAAAGCACCCCACTTTCGATGAACTCTTCATCCAGGGAAGATCATATGCGCAGTCGCCAGTCTATAAGGTGGGACTCCAAGATAGTGAAGTTTGTTTATACTAGTTGTACCTAGGTTCACTAGGATTTATGATGCACAGATATATATATATATATAGAAATGTATGGTATATATATATAATTGGTATCTAATACATAGAGAGATCTGTAGGTGATGGCTTTCTACCACCCATTTATAATGGGGGCCCACCTTCTGGACTTCAAAATAGTGTGTTTTTGATCGGTGGCATGGAAGTACTAGTCATGCAAAGTAGACATCGTTTAGGTTCCAGCTATATGTAGATATGATTGATAAATATGATTGATAGATTCATAGAATTGGATGATGGGAAAATTTACAGGAAACCCCTATATTTGATGGTAAAAACCATGGTTTCCTGTAGATTTTCCCTTCAACCAATCCATTGATAGATATGTTTGTATGATACACCCCCCAAGACCTACCTTTGGGATCCTTTGGGTATTTTCGTTAGTGCGAAAAGTCTTGACACTTTCTGCCAGCGCAGGTCACTGTCTACGTGTTGGGCTCAGAAGAGCGAAACGCGAGCTCCGTGGGGTTTGTTTGAAAATCGGCTAGCCCTAAATCCATTGGTTTATCATCATTTTTCCCATTGGTTTCTGACATAAAATGACGTAAAACATGACCATTTAAGCTTTTTGTATCCCCTAGGTTCAGACAGTCATCGATTTGATCAGCGCAATGCAGCTGTAACTAGGACAGCCGGATGAATTGGCGTCACTGGCCAAGCTCGGTAAGTTTTTACCTACTTGGAAACTCCGCAAGTTTTGCTTGAAAGGTATAAGTTGGTTGGTAGATGTCAAAGGATATGTATATATTAATGCAGATATACGCACATATACTGATATATATATAATTATACATAATTATACACAGAAATTGTTTATAGATCAACCTTATGAGGATTTTAATATATCAACGTGTCATGACAACGTTATGACTTCGCCGTCACCTGGATGGACTCAGGACAAGATCATCAGAAGTCCTGAAGCAGCTCGTTTCAAACAGAGGCGCGGGAGCCGTGGAGCCGTGGAGATTCCCAACAGCTGGAGATTTCAGCTGGGCTGATTTCTGGTTTAACCAACAAAAACCATGGGAAAACCCATAGGAAAATGGAGGTTTACTGTACCCTCTGGTTATGACTAACATAGCGAACTGGAAAAGATAGCCCATTTACAGATGATTTTCCCAACTAGAAACTTCCGTTTATGGTGGGATTTTCCAGTTCGCTATGTTAGTCATAACCAGATGGTAACGAAAACGCGTTGAGCGTTGGGGTGAACTCACATAACTCCAATAACTCACGAAGTGGTAGGTTTATGGTACGCTTAAATAACGAACTAGTTACTGGGGCGAATTTGTTAACCAACGTTCACATCACTGGGGGCCACATTGTAGGGTTGCTGGATGGGTTGCTGGGGGTTGCTGGGATGATGACATAGTCATTAGGGATTCAACCAAACTTTGGAGCCAGGGTAGCCTCTGGTAATTTGTTACAGTTTGCTATTGAAAATGGTCCATAGAAATCGTGGATTTACCCATGAAAATAGCATGGTGGATCTTTCCATATTTTTATGTAAACGTTTACCAGGCCGGGTAACCCTGGTATTCTACCGTATTCCCGTATACTCGGAAAATATCATTGGTCCAGAGATCCGTCGTCAGCCTTCCCAGCAGATTGACATCGGGAATGTACGGATTTTTTTCATGACGAGTAGAAGGTTAGAATGGTTAGAAGGAATTGCAATAGCAGGACCATGTATATATATATATTAGTTATGATACTAGCTCTTGTGTATAAATTGCCCCCGCCAATGAACAGGGAAGTCTTTGGCCAAATCCTGAAATTATGCTATCACTTGGGAACCGATCAATCTGGCACAAATGCATCGCTTTTGCAGGCCTTTATTTCGCTGTTTTAAGGAGCAAGCTCAGCAGCTTCCCACATGCACATCTAAGTTTGTCTACATATACCAAGACGATCCCAGACGGAACATGGCTTTCAACAGTGAATAGATTAGCTTTCCAACCGGCGGAGTAGTGTAACTTCCTCAACCCCGTCAACCCCGTGACGTCAGGAACCTGATGAACGAGTATCCTTTGAGAGATCAATTCAGAGAGCTTCGTGACCAGAAGGCGCCAGTCTGCCAGTCCTTTACCGGTTGATGAAGGGTCCAGGGTCCATGGCTGAAGAGACTATCCATGATGAGATCAATGGCCATGCAACAGGAACCGATTCCTGAAGGAGGTACCTAACATATACTGTATAAGGCCGATGTAAGGGCTATGTTTGCGGGAATATCCCCACAAATATGGCCTGACAAATGGTACTAACGTACCTCCATTTTAGGATCCTGGAGATCTCCCATTGACAAGAAAGAGACCCACCAGCTATTCGAATCCACCGAAGAAAACCCCATGGATTGTCCATGCGAATGAAGCCATGGAACCAATGGTGGCGCCCTTCAAACAGATCGATGTTCTGGTGGAGTCATGTCAGACACCGGAAATCTCCCCATCGCATCCGGCAGGTGAGACTCCATGTTAGATATCGGACCATGCCCATCGTCGGTTTGATGTGGGGTCTCCCAGGGGTCGCAATTGTCTCTGAATTTTGGGGATCCGGAATCATCCGAAAAAAAGTTTGCAGGTGACAGAATTACGTCTTGAATATTCTTGAGTCCACTCATTAACTATTTTTAAACCAGACATGGGTTTACAATCCTTCCCCCATTGCAGGTTTATTTCGAAATGTTTACCTCATTGCATCCAGAGAATGGGATCAACAGTGGAATTTAATTGACAATTTGTCAGGCCCAGCAGCGTTAGGATGTTCTAGGATGTTCTGTTGGTCAAAGTGATCAGCACCAAAAATCATCGAAATCCATGGTTGTCCAATGTTTTCCATGATAGAAATCGATGGTTTTGCATACCAAACAAGGATAGCCATTCCGCAATTCTTTGAGCCATTTCCGACCTCGATCCTCCTCGATCAATCCACCAAGGCACGAGAAAGAAGTGGCAGCCGTGGATTTTCAGGTCCCTGGCCCCTCCTGGAGGTCTCTGGTGCTTTCTGGTTGGTTTTTGGTGCCAGAAACAAAGGGATCATTTTGGCTACACACTTTCTGGATGGGTTTCCACTCTGAAAAGTGCTGAAAACGACTTGATCCATTTTTGATCCTGATTCAATGGCCATGTCAGGTTCCGATTTATTGGAGGTACCTACCATATATAAGGCCCATATATATGGCCATTGACTGATGTTTGTTGTCCCGATCCGGACATGCTTGAATCCTGATGGTAAAATAAGGCTGGCGCTGGTAGAGTATGCTGATGTTTTATCGTCATATAATTATAATTAAAATTACAGGTGCAATATCCGATCAATAGCACAAACCCATAGGATCCATGGTGCTGCTATATATGGTAACATTTACCATCAATATACCCCAGTCATGTTAGCATATATACCATACATGGATCCGTGATGGGAAAGGGTTTCTTCCACATTGACCCTCAAACGGAGTGGCATCAAGACCGAGGACCAGTCACCCATTTCATCACAACTGGGAGACTTGCTGTAACATGGTATCCAATACCGGTACTGTAAGTTGAAACATGTTGAAACCCATGGGACCACCCTATTTCAGTCATGTTTTTGTTCATTTTTGTTGACTCACAAGCTAGTTATGCTAGTTTTGGAGGTATCCAAAAAATTGACCCATGTGCCAATAGGAAATCCATTCTTGAACCAATGGCAGTCGAAACCAGAAAGTCCACTGGAAGCCGGCTGATACTCACACTGGAAGCATCTGGAAGCCCTGCCCCAGCAGCTTTTATACATCGAAAGCATCGAAAAAATTCAATCCGAGCATGCCATGATCGAAACGAATTCATGTTTCATCCTTGGAGATGCTTGTTTATCGCAGCCGGGCAGCAATGGAGAGGATGATGCATGCGAATAGACTCTCCCCAGCATCCGTTTGATTCGATGATTAACCTTTCTTATTGTATAATATGGGTACCAAAACTAGGGGTACCCCCAGTCATCATCCATTTATAGATGGATTTTCCCTGAAATAAACCATCCAGCGTGCTATTGGGGTAACCCCCTTTATGGAAACCCCCACATCTTTTTCCAGGTCCCGCAATAAGTTTCCTCCCGGAAAAGACGACTGGGCACCACCAGCAAGTCTGGGAAAGTTTCTTCAGATTTGGAGATATGATTCCAAATGATTCCAATTTACATCAATTTACCATCCGATATTTATATCATATATATATAATATAACTATACAATTATATCATATGTATATATATATATATATACAATTTGAGGCCCCCCAGTGATGTTTGTTGGTTTATAAGCCCCAGTAACTATAGTTATAAGTACCATAAACCATAGTTATTGGAGTTATAAACCAAGTTAAACAGTTAGCTATCTTGGGGGCCCCACATTGTATATATGTAATCATGTTTTTTGTTTGGGAAACCATGATATTTGATATCGCACCAGTGGGCTGCGATGACTCGGAACACGCGATCTGAATCATGGCGCGAGCGGCGCGATGGGCGGAGGCCCCGCCGAACAAATGATGAGGACGTGAACTCCACGATCGTTTTATTGGTATATAGGGATATAAACATATATATATATAAACATATATATACATGTATATATGATATGTATATATGATATTAGATAGATAGATAGATAGATAGATAGAGATAGATAGATGGATGGATGGATGGATAGATATAGATACATAGATAGATAGATAGATAGATAGATAGATAGATTGATAGATAGTCAGGGTTGTGTCACGGCAAATGATTGCCACATTGACATGGACATGTCCTCCTTTTTCAAAAAAAATACATTTTCCCACGATCTGGGGTGTTGGGAAGCTTGATGATAGTGATAGAATGGTGATGTACTGGGAATATTAATTGGTGCTGTCTGTTCACCAACAGTTTGTTCCCAACAAGGTGAGAGTTTCGCAACAATCATTGGGAAAAAAACAACTGCTAACTGTTATAAAATGGGGTTGTCTAAAAATGGATATGCCAGAATTTATCATGATTATATCGCGGACACACCACAACCTCGCCACAAGTTTGGATTGGGGGAACCTTTTTTCAGGCTGATATTCTTGGAATTCAGCCACCTACAAACGGTAAACCACTAGTTCTGTTGAATTGCCATGCAGTTACAAAAGGTAAATCATTGATTTCAATTTCAATCTGTGCTTTTCCATTGCCGACTTGCAATAGGATATTGTTATGCTCAACTCGTACCCCGAAAAAGCACCAACCATTCACCACACTTCCACCCTGGGTGTTGAAGTTGTTGTTTGTTATAGCTTTCATGGGTCAGTATGATCCAATACAGGAAGCCTCAACCAACCATTGGGCATGAGGGGTACGGGTGACCTGTGTCACTGCCCCAATGTTTGGTGCTGAAAAACCCCGATTGTTAATGGTGGAATCCCCTTTGTTGACAGTTGAGTACCTACACAAAGATGGATTAACAGCTATTTCTTGCCATAAGTTGGGGGTTCTTCACATCCGTAAATCGCATGATTTTGCTGCTTCTTGAGGTGCCATTTTCTGGTTTGTCTGAAAATAGGGTATCCATGGGTATCCCAAAAACCAATGGCTTCTTATATCTTCTTATCACTTCAGAAAATGAGACACCTTCAGCCAGCCACGCCCATGGCGCTTTCCTCAAAAAACGGGCCAGCGGCTACCCCCAGTCATCATCCATGTTCAGAAGTGATCTTCCATGAAACCATCCAGCGTGCTATTGGGGTAGCCCCATGACTTTGGAAACCTCCAAATGAAAGCTCCCCTCCAGGCCACCGTTGCCTTGCGTCACGCCCCAGCCCAAGGAAGCCCAAGGGGCATCATCCTTTGGGAAAGAGTGGATGGTTGCGAAATGTTTGCCCCAAAATCCATGGGAATTCCAGGATCCAAACGTGGGATTATCATGGGATTATAGTGGGATTATAGCCCGATACCCAAAAATGAAGAGATTTATGAACCCTATGGATCCAGCCGTGCCTTCTGAAAGGAAGTACGACTGGGGTATGATGACTAGGGGGTTAGCCGTACCTTCTCAGACAGTGGCCATGGATCCATAGAGATTGTTTTATGATTTATGAGGTTTTTACCATCCAAGGTGGTGCAGGATTTCGCAACCATAGTATCATGAGGATTCAATAGGGGTTGATAATATTATGCTGGTTGGTGCTTTGGCCAATTTTTCCATATATTGGGAATTTCATCATCCCAACTGACGAACTCATATTTTTCAGAGGGGTAGGTATACCACCAACCAGTTATGTGATATTCATATAATATCTTAAGGGGATTTCACCAAGCCTAGAAAGGATTTTTCACCAGCCACAAAGGAATATTTTTTTTTCATGGGTATACAATGGAATAATATGGAATCATTGAATATCAAGGGCTATACCAGGTGACCTCCCCCAACAGTTGTGTTTCTTAAGGGGCAAAGCTTAACTGTTTCAACGACCATCACTTTTTTTTGGTCACCCTTTGGCAGCGTTAGTTGAATCGTCATGATGAGGGTTCGCATGTTGCCAATTCTTGTATGACATGATAATAAATCATTCTATATATATATGGGGTAACATACATATCAAATTATACATATATAATCATATTATGGTTATTGTATGAAACCATCCATATCCATTCTGGAAAGTTCATCATTTGGGCCCATTGACATGTGGTTGAGGGTGGGCTTCCCATACTGGATCTTGCCTAGGTATCTAAGTAGTACTGTGTAACGAGAGTTTGTGCGAAAATGGTGGTTGTAAACCTGTGGCTTGTGTTACAGTAAAAAAAATCGGTTTAAGCTGTTATAAGATCTACAGGTACCCAACTTTCAGAAAAAGCTATGGAAATCACCATGAAATCAGTGGGCAAAAAAATGGTGTAAATGAATGAAGGTCCATCTCCGCATATTTTGAAGGTTCCACATGTTCTGTTCAAAGGGCTGCATGACACACAAAAAAAACATGGAGACTGATCGAACACTGCAAGTAGTTGATCTTAGCTGGTTCATCTGTGATATCCCTCCAACACATATGACACGTAACCAAAGGTTGACGGATATTGAGGGCCTGTGGATCACGTTC